GAGAAGGCGGCATCTCGTTGTCCGTAGCCGTCACCGTGACTGCTGGTGGGATGGCCGTACTGCGGGTGATTGGATCGGGAACGGGGGTCTTGACGATAGTCGGCCATGACGGCGTCGGGCGGGCGGACGGCCGGCGTTGGTGTCGGGGTCGGATAATGCTACTGATGCGATGCAGGTACTGGAGAGGTTGATGCGAGATGTTCGCTCGCTCCTGTCTCAATGCGCTTGTTCGTCGGCGGAGCTGGGGGCTACTGTACAGGTAAGGTAGGGTCTAGAATAGTGGGCAGGTCGGTTGGCTGTTGACTAAAGTTTCGGTAGACGGAAGGTACGACTGTGCAGGCAATCTGCAATCTACTCCTCAAGTGTAGCCGACCACCTGCGCAGCAAGAAAGCACGACCTTGGTCAACCTCTCTGTTGTCGATTGGAATAGTAGAGGCAGATACGGTCGACAGGGTCGGGGACTGGACGGAGACGGAGACGGGGGGGAAGAAGGGTCAAAGGTCGCCAATGTACGGGTACGGGGCTGGAATGTCGAACTACGGCCAGGGCAGTGGTGTGCGGTGGATGATGGCTGATGGATGGCTGATGGGGACCCGACCGAATGACCGACAGGGCTTCTTGCTGCTGAGGACCCGGAGCCACAGGGGGCCATTTGCAATCAAAAGTGGAGCATCAGGAACCGGCGTGGGCTTCTTGATCTAGTCTTGGTTGCATCTGGGCTGGGCCGACCAGTGTATTGAACACAGCCAACTTGAATATTTTTGAAGATGTATAAAAGCTCTACTAAGTATGTAGATGCGCAAGAATTGGAACGAGTATTTTTCTCGGAAATAACAAACGTCACAATACAACAAAAGATGAAGATCGAATGCCAAGATGGGGCTAGCTTGTCGTCGTGTCCAGAGAAGGAGGGAGGGAAGCATTGGGAAAGTATACGGGATACGGCAGACAATGTTCTAGATTGCCTTCCACTTTCTGCGTAGTGTAGAGGCTGACCTCCAAGGTAACTCTCCAGGGCTGTCCTATCACATCCCGTTGTTGATAGCTGTCCTGTCCGTGTTGGTTTGTGCCGCCAGATGGCGGGTCAGTCGGATTGTTTGGAGGGTGCATCAAGGTATTTCCGCGTGCCTCCGAGGTCGTTTTGTTCCACTTCCCGGCGGTTGTGATACGGGATGGGGGCTGATGTTATTGGGAGAAGCCCTGTAGATGTGTAGATGTGTGTTGAATACCCCGGTCCAAATTTCTACTTCAGGTTGGAGAGGCTTTGAAAAGAAGTTCACGGAGAAGAGCTTGGTAACATACAACGTTGCATGAAAAGATGGAACTCGGCGAGTCTTTCTACTCTCCTGATCGTAGATAAAACGTCAACCTGAATTCACTTATTGCTCGGTGGTTAGGCGATCCACCTTGTAAGAACGTTGTTGTTCCTGAATTGCGGGGAGGCCATTCCCCCGTCGACTAGGGGTTCAAAAGGGGTTCAACTTATTACATACAACTTTGAGTCCATCCTTGACTGTCTTTGAATCTGCGACAAAGCTCCATCTTCCAGTGAATAGAACTCAACCTACAAGTGGGACGGCAATAGATAGAGATCCCATTGAGATTCCATGGGCAAGGCTGAGGGAGTCTGAAAGGTCATTGTTAGTTGGAGGGAGCCCTATCTCCGATTAAGTCCATCCCGCTGTCACTGTGTTCGTCAAGCTGGGGATTGTACAACCAGTGGGTAACCTGAAAAGTCAGAACACCACGCAATATCTTTATATTAACTGGTTCAAGTACGGTTGAGCTTACACAACCAAGTGGAAAGGTGAGGACGTCACCGTTACCATACGGGTAGCATTTTGCGCCTCCGGATCTCAACGTTTCCGCTCAGCTTGTTGTGGCACTGCGAACTGAAGTTGCATCTGGCGTCTGTCTTCAAGCGTTCCTGTCGAATGATACAAGTTGGATGATGGCATATCGATGTGCGTTATACCCCAGAGCCTCAGCTATACACCAACCTAATCGTCAACCAGTTAATTGGGGGCCGAAAGCAGCACCAACTCCAGCAGACTGGTGAGTGCTCAAATTTCCAACCACCCATTGTGATGTTGATTCAAGAGTTTTGGAAGTTGAGGTTGATGCAAGTGGAAAGCCAAGCCTGCACGCACTGAAGGTGTTCCTGAGCGTGCACGTGACTGCAAGCGCTAATGCCCTTAACACCAAGCCAATCTGGGGCAGGCGGCAGTGGTCCAAGCTTCCCGCTGCATCGCTGCGTCGTTGCGTCGGCTGGCTCCATTGAACCAAGCAGCGTCTCGAGTCTCCAACTGACGAACATCCCGCTCGACATCACAGCGCCTGGCCCCAACTTTTCGCTTTTTCAAGCTACTATCGCCGCCAACATACGGAATCAGTCTTGTCTATAAGCCGTCACCATGGCCGAAATCATGGCCGACTCGGAACTTGCCCCCAAGTTCGCGCCGTTCATTGGCATGGTACGTCAACACCAGTCGCGAACCGACCCATTCCCGGTGGCCAACAAGGTGTAGCTGGGATGGGATGGATGGGACACAACCACGCAACAACATCACTCGACAACAACATCAATGTTTACTAACAATGTTTTCTCTTACCAGGCCGGCATCGCAGCCGCCATGATCTTTGGCAGTAAGGCTCTCGATTCCCAACTTGACGTCTTCCCAATATTACAAAGGCTGACCATGTCGTTCACAACTTCACAGGCGCGGGCGCCGCATATGGCACAGCCAAGTCTGGCATCGGTATCGCCGGCGTGGGTACCTTCCGGCCGGACCTCATCATGAAGGTTAGTCCTTCCCCAGCAATGTGTCTACAGTGCTGTCTTGCAAAGACTAACATGCTCTTTTGGTAGTGCCTGATCCCCGTCGTCATGTCCGGTATCATCGCCGTTTACGCCCTTGTCGTAGCTGTCCTGATCGCACAAGATCTTGGGCCGCCAGGATCCGGTCAACATTATAGCTTGTTCAAGTACGTTTCAGCATCGACGGCGTCTAAGAGTTGACAGACACGGAATTTGGAGGTCATACATCTTGGGAAATGGTCTAGCTAACTTCGGCTTCCACCACAGCGGCTTCATGCATCTTGCGTGTGGTCTATCAGTCGGCCTCACTGGTCTTGCCGCTGGCTATTGCATTGGTATCGTAGGCGACAAGGGCGTTCGATCGTTCATGCTACAGTCGAGGATCTTTGTTGGCATGGTTTTGATCCTCATTTTCGGCGAAGTTCTCGGTCTTTATGGGTAAGAGCAGCCAGCCAGTCTAGCTGATGTCTTTGATGGCACTCAACCTTTCCGAGCATTATGCTAACCGAGCCTCATCACTTAGCCTCATCGTTGCCCTCATCCTCAACACCAAGAGCAAGGGCTAAATATCTTGTCTCCGAATCAAATCAGTTGGGAGTCCTTATCCACGGGCAGAAAAAAGAGAAAGAGTGCATCTACTCTTGGTGTTGCACAAACTCAATGTGAGCAAGGAACTGAACAGGATAGTATACGCTCCAACGACGAAAATAACGAGCTCTGTTCAAAGAAAGGAAAGAGGTACGGATGACAGCTGAATGAATGGGTACATGGGAGGGGGGCGCAAACCTGAAAGTGTATAGCATTTTGGCCTGGCGTTTAAACGGAATTGCTGCTGCTACTGGTTTGTTTTGTTTTTGGGCTATAGTCTTATTGGGGGGCAGAAGTAGAGAAATAGAGGCAAAAGACGTCTACATCGCCGATGTGATGGCACGACATGCCAGCACCTTTCTAGATGCTTGGGTTATCATCTGCCTGGTCTTTGGTCTTTCATCTCATCTGGTTACTGTCATCGCATCTAAGAACCCGACCCTTTCTCCTCCGCTCACGTGTGGTTCGGCCTTTTTCTTCCTCAACTTGACAATATTATCACATTCGTCAGTTCCTTTGGTCCTTTGGTCCGTCGGCCCTCAAACTAAGTCCAGTGACAACGGAGAGGTTATGAAGATACAAGACGTAATGCTATCGGATTAAATGAACCAGAGTTACCAATCGTAAAATAATAGTCATCATCTTAACAACCGTGCGTACCAAACTTAGAGGTACTTTTTACCACTTTTATCTTACGTATTGATATACATAGTCGATGACTCGTAATACCACCACACGTGATCTCCATCAAGTCATATCTTCACAATTCGACAGAAAAATTTGGAGAAGCGATCAACTTACACTGCCTCGACTAAACCACTTTTGGGGATGTTTTACATGAAGATCGGTCGGTGCATGATCACAACATCGACCTACACTTTTATAAAAGCTTCACGCCTTGTTTCTTTCCTAACGTCATGCTTATGCATGTTGGACATTGAGACTTAAAAAATGATAACCTAGACAGGCCTACTTCATTCTGATTCTCATCCTCATCCATGCCAACTTTCTGCAAGATCTCTCGGAAAAATCAACATCGCTCATATCATTCGTTCAATTTCAAAAACCCGGCCGTTGCCGCCAAACTTCTCCGAAATTTTCCAAATCATCACCAAAAAGAGAAAAGAAAAAGGACAACACAGCGAAAACCAAAACGCCATGATGCAAAACGTGGGACAATGCCACACTCGGAGTCGTCGTCCCCCATGCAAATGGGGAAGTGAAGCAAAGATAACACCGCAATCCATCATGGCAACCCAACTAAGCTCCTGGAGGGGTTCTCGTGCCATAAACCATGCCATACCTCCTTTTTGACTGATTCAACAGGGAAAAAAAACAGAAAAGGAAAAGGGAAGACAAAAACCGAAGGAAAGGCAAAACAGGGAAAGCAAAGGTCTAAATCGAAATGGAAAAATTCGCAAATGCAAAACGCCTTTGAATGATGCGCGTCATGTCTCTCCGGATGAGAAAGACGACAGGGAAAAGAAAAAGGAGATTCGTCTCATCATAATAGCAGGTGGCTTTTCAGCCTTGCTGCTGCTGCTGCTGCCTCTCGCCGCGGCGGCGACACAAAACCCGACACACAGCCCGACGCTATCGCGCCCGCATGCCGAGTCGGAAAGGCAGCTTGTTGGTGCGCGTCTCGACGTTTTGCGAAAACGGCGCCAGCCCGGTTGGCGTGCTTCTTGTTCTCTCATGAGGTCTGTGCAGATTGAGTTGAGAGCCGTTAGCATCTACAACGAAAGACATGTCTGACTGGAAAAAAGTCATTGAGAATGAGAAGACGAAAAGACAAACGTACTCAAAAACAGATCCCACCGATGGTTCTCCTGAACAAGGATATCGCCATTTTCCCTCGCCAATCGTTCCCGCCGTGCTTTGGCCGCCGCCTCCTCGCCCACCAGATAGGGGTCCTCGAGCGGGCGCGGGCGCGCCGCGTTGTTGGACGGGTTGTTGTTGTTCCGCTCCTCTTCGATGCGGTCGAGAGCACGTCGGAGGCCGTCCAGGTTGGTGGTCGAGGCGTTGGCTGCGGCGCGCCGTTGCGCAACGTTTTGGTATTGCCGGAGGTTGGGGTTGGAGGACATGGATGAGAGGGACGGGATGCGCAAGTCGCCGAGAACTGGGAAGTCGGTTCGCGGCGCCGGGCCGGAGGGGACCGGGGGAAGTCCGACGCGGGGAGGAGGGGAGGGAGAGCTGGTGGATCGGGAGGGAGTGGTTTCCGTGGTGGTCTGAGCCCGGGTCCGGCCGCCGGTGACGGGACGGGGACCGGCGTTGGCGGTGGTGGGCAGGGATGTGGAGCTGGCGGCCGCGCTAGTCCTCGGGTTCAGGTTGGCGCTCCGGTTGTTGCTCCGGGTGTTGGTGCTGTGGTTTCCGAGCCTGGCAATAGTGCTGGAGCTGTCATTGGCGGCGGTATTAGTGCCGAGGCGGCTGCGGTTTCGTGTGCTGGTGTTGCTGTGGTTTCCGAGCCTGGCAATGGTACTGGAGCTGTCATTGGCGGCCGAGTTACTACCGAGGCGGTTTCGGTTTCGTGTGCTGGTAGTGGTGGTTGCGGAAGTGGTGTCGGAAGTAGTTCTTCCGCTAGTTCTACCGGTGGTTCTCGAGGTACCCCGGGAAGTACTTCCGGTAGAAGTTTCGGTGGCAGCCGCTGCACGGGGACGGGGGCGGTTGCGTTCACGGCGGGGCTCTTCCGGCGGATCGGGCAGGGTTGCGGGAACTAAGGAGGAGAGGACACCGAGCCGGCCGGCTATGTCCCATCCTGCAGCTGGCGGTGAATAAGGCGGTGCAGGCTCATCCGGTAGGTTGTATGGATCGGCATATGAATAACGATCCGAATGGTAGGAAGGCACCTCAGAAACTAAATTATGTTCGACTATCAGTGCATGTTTTTATTTGAAAAGCAGAAATTATTTTGTTAAACTTACTGTAAGAAGGTGCGACGGAGCGGATCGAGGCGGTCTCGGCCATGTCGATCATAGAAGGAAAATGACGAGAAGGTGCTTGAGAGGCCATCTCGATCATAGAAGGGAAGCGGCGAGACGGCGCCTGAGTAGTGGTGGTAACCATGATTGCTATTTCCTACGATCCTCTTGTCGACCCCAAGCTACAAGTAACTAAGACAAAGAGGAGAGGAAATTGTAGAAAGGAAAGAAGGTTGGGAAGTCACTGCCAGCGATGGGAGGAGGGCCGTGGCAGTAAGGCCAGCTGAGCGCGGTGACGATGATGCAGTAGGTGAACAGTAACCAGCACAGGCTTGTTACTCCAATGTGCTAGACGACACAATTACCTGATCTCCTGTAGCAATTCCAACGTTGTTCAGAGCGGGGAAAACGAAGCCTTTGACGCAGAGAACGGGAGAAGAGGAAACAATGAAACATTCAGATGAAAGAGACTCGAAGAGGCAGAAGAGCAACAGATAACCTTTTTAAGGTTCCCCAGCCGCGAGACCAAGACGCGGGGAGGTCTTGGAGACAGGTACTCGTTCGCTCGGGTCGACAGCAACCAAGTCGGGTCCAAGCACCACCAACCCTGGTAGACCTGTGCAGCTTGCTGGAGCTACCTACCCCAGCCCAGCAAAGGCCCAGTCCCATCGACCCCCTTCGCGGCTGCGAGGCAGTGTTGTAGCAGCTCCGTACAGTGGCCCAATGTCCAATAATACCCGTCCCGAAGGAGCCAGAACGGGGTTCCCTCAGGGGCCAAGAAGTTGATTGTGGTGACACGTGAGAAACGTTGTGGGAGAAACCAATGAGGAGAAGAGGCAGCGCGGCCAGCGAGACTCACCGTCGGGGCTAGGTTCGGACCATGTTCTGGAAACGGGAAGAGAAAGAAGATATCTGACCAGGGGAGGGACTGGAGGGGCACACACTGCACGCAGCACCTCATCGGCAGCCTGAAAAGGCAAGAAAGAAGGGTCAACAAGCAGGCAGGGCAGCTCTAGCGCACCTCGCTGCCGTTGGATACGCCAACAAGTGGAAAGGTGTGAACCCTGGCTGCGTTGGTGATCGTGGTGATGGTGGAATGGTGGTGGAGCAATGGGCTTCAGAAGGACGAGACTCGACGCCTTGAGGTTTGTGGCTTTCGATATGGAAAATGGAAATGGAGGGGGCTGCGGAGTTTTGGTTGGAAGCTTGGCGCCGCACCTGCGTTGACTTCTTTCATGCGAGAGGGACCTGACTTTGGTCCGTCAAAAAAGCAGAAAGACTGCGTTGAACGAGGGGGGAAATGCACAGCACCAAGATACCGGGCCACGTACCTGACGGCTGGGCTGCAGACACAACCGCAAACACATGATGCGTGGTCGACACCAACTTGACTTCATATCTGTGTGCTTGTCTGGGAATGCATGTCTTGGGCCCCGAGCTCGAATCCGGGAAGTTGGAACTTGTTTTGAAACATCGAGATAAGATAGGCATCCTGCCATTGCATCAATAGCATTGGCGAACCCGGACTGCGCCGGCCGATATTGACCCCGGAACCCCGTCATCCACGAGGTCGGATACGGATAGCATCCACCATGGAATGCCACCGAGGTACCGAAGCTCCTCAACTTCATCATCGTATGGGGTCGCCGTCGTAAAGTTGGAGCCGGGCCTGGGTGCGTCATGGGCCATGGCCAGGGGAAGAGCCGCTGTTGCAGCCGTCTTGCTCGATGCCCTTGAAACCCGCCTTATTCCATGGCATACTCTATAATGGTACGATTCTTCTTGTAAACTGGAAAAAAAGGTCGCCTTCTTCGATCTTGGTATCGGAAAACGGCACATGGCCCAGTTTTCGGGCCATTTATAAGTCTTGTACCTGCAGTTGATCGCCCATGGTAGCCAAGTAAGACCCTCTTCGACCCTGTGGCGTGCGTAGCGTACACACCTTTGACAAGACGCAACAAGAGTTGATAAACAGCCGGGCAGACAACTGAAAACACTCTCAGGCTGGCATCGTGATGATTGCCCCTCATCTGAATTTCGCCTCGATTCTTTGCTTCTTCTCGCAGTATCCAGCCGCGCAGTCAAGGACCCAGCAAGGTCCACACATAATCCAAAACATTTCAGCGGTAAGAATCAAGCTTCGGTCAAGCGGAGTTGGAGAGGTTGGCTGAGGTTGGGTACATACACAGTAGCCCCGAGTATATGAAACTCACCAGGTCCACAGAAACCACCGCCTATGGAGTTTTGCTCGCTGTAGAATTCTCGGCGGCTGACCAACAGTCGGTATAGGAAAAATGAGAATATGCTTGACTGCCCTCCATGAGAATAAAGAGGCCAGTTCCATACCAACAATATTTGTAAAGTTGAATCACGAACCACGATGCTGAGGTAACGCCAGTATCTAGTTGTGTCAGCAGACACCCCAAGCGACTGCACCCTCTTGAACCTCCCGTCTCGTGAACATTGCCGCTTTTATCTCGAGGTTTTTATCTGATTGCACCATTTCGATCTGCTGTTGGTCCCGTCGTTGTGGTGTTATTCAGACCGTGTGCCCACCTGCCGAATCGGTCAGGGTGGTTGGGAAGCTTCACGTGGCTGTGCATAAGCGTGCCCCAGTCACGCACCCAAGCCACATTGACAGCTGAAGTCTCGACATTCGCGGCAGGCACGTCGATAAGCGTTGCCTGCCGGAGCCGGCGGGTACCCTGACGGCCAGCACCCTCGGCGCTATGATAACCAGAAAGACAACACCGACATTGCAAAGCTGCATAGTACATTTACATTTGAACATCAAGCCGACATACGTACACATCAGGAACCCTTCGTGATGGCTGTAAAAGCCTCCGTCCTCGTCGCCAGTGCCATCGCGACACTGGCACGGGCAGCGCAGCCCGGAGCTGCTTCTCCCATCGCCGCGCCCATGCGAGACCTCGTCTGGGGCAAGCTCAACTTCCTTCACACGACAGATACCCACGGCTGGCACGGCGGACATCTGCAAGAAGCACAATATTCGGCCGATTGGGGCGATTACATATCATTTGCCGAGCATCTTCAAAAAGAAGCTGACGAGCAGGGCGTTGATCTGCTCCTCGTCGACACAGGCGATCGCGTCGAAGGCAACGGACTATACGATGCCTCAAATCCTAAGGGGAAATACTACTTTGACATATACCGCGAGCAGGACGTCGACATAATATGCACAGGAAACCACGAGCTGTACCATGCCTCAACTGCCGATGGAGAGCACCTGCGGACCGTCCCGAACTTCCAGGAGAAGTACATTGCGTCCAACCTGGACTACATCGACCCTAAGACGGGACTGCAGATCCCCATGGCGCAGCGGTACCGCAAGTTCCAGACCAAGAACCAGAAGCTGACCATTGTCGCCATGGGTTTTCTTTTCGACTTTACCGGAAATGCCAATAACACGGTGGTGCAGCCTGTGAGGGAGACCATCAAGGAGCAGTGGTTCCAGGACGCCATCAGAGAGAACCCGGATGTGTTTGTGGTGATCGGCCACGTCGGCGTGAAGATGCCCGAGTTCAAGGAGATCTTCACAGCCATTCGTAAGCAGAATTGGTTCACGCCCATCCTGTTCTTCGGCGGCCATGTGCACGTGCGTGACGCGACGGCGTATGACTCCAAGTCGTTTGCTATCGCCAGCGGTCGTTACTTTGAGACGATCGGCTGGATGTCGGTGGACGGTGATCTGAAGAGGACAACCAAGGACGTCGTCGCTGCTGCTGCCATCGACGTACCGCCCTCGGCTGAGGTCGCGGGACTCTCATTCCACCGCAGGTATATCGACAACAACCTGTTGGGTCTCTACTACCACACCGGGTTGGACGAGTCCACGTTCTCTACCGACCATGGACGAAACGTGTCGCAAATGATCGCCCAGGCCCGCAAGGATCTCGATCTGGATTACACGTTCGGTTGTGCGCCGAAGGACCTGTGGATGACGAGGGCGCCCTATCCTTCCGAGGACAGCATCTACACGTGGCTCGAGAAGGAGGTTCTTCCTGAGATCGCCATCAATAACGATCGGAAGGATGTCCCTCGTCTGGTCATCATGAACACCGGTGCTATCCGGTTCGACATCTTCAAGGGCAAGTTCACGAGAGATACCACATACATCATCTCGCCCTTCCTCAGCGTCCTGCACTACATCCCCGACGTCCCTTACGAGGTTGCCAGTAAGGTTATTGGCTTGCTCAACAATGCCGGAAGGATCATGGAGGAGGCTAGTGTCATGGAGGAGCAAGCTCCTATGGATCCCCGCTTTATGGGCATTCCCGAGCAGTTCGCCATTACGGAGGACATTATCCACGAGAAGCCAATGCCTTCCTTCACAGGTGACTCAGCCGTTGAAGGACAAAAGCCACTGTCAGGCGATGGTGGCTCTAGGAAGGAGCCCGTTCTGGTCGAAGGGTATACGACAAGGGATGACATTGGCGATGATGGCGATGATGCTGTCCACTCTGCCATTAACTTCTATGTCGTACCTAATTGTATCCAGGCTGAGGTTGGGTTTTCACCCAAGGAGGATGATGAGAAGCCTGAAAAAGTCGATCTCGTTTTCTTTGACTTCATCCAGCCATGGGTCATGGTTGCGCTGAAGATTTCTGGAGGTGATTACACTAATGATGATGTCAAGAGTTATGTCGATGGGACTTTTACGGAGTTGATGGCCGGCTGGATCAAGGAGAACTGGCCGCTCTGCTGATTGTTAGTTACAGCAGCGGTGACGTTCATAGTCTTACGGGTATGGGGAACTTTGGGTAAAGCGATATGGTACTGGGGCTCGGTATAACGGCACGGGATATGTCAATTTGGCGTCAATTTGTTAATGATGAAACTGGATTATGGCATGTTATATGAATTATGAACGAGGTACTGATGTTCAAGTGCACATAGCATAAGGAGTAATATAGGGGACGCGAATATTATCAACACAGCACTTAAGCTGAACTTTGTTATTGAATCTCCCCAAAGCATTACGTGTCCCATTGATTTGCGCCCCAAACGCCGAGCCATATCCGTGTAAATGCTACAAAACGAACCTTCAGGATATCCGTGCAACAGACTTACACTCCCGTCCCTTTTTTCTCAAGCACCAACTGGAAGCTGTCCCAGTCTTCTTCGCGATGCTATAGCTGATCCAGCAGCCTCCTCCTCCTCCTATCAATAAGCTCCTGCTGGACCTCCTCCATCGTAGGCAGCTCCCAACCCTGTCCATCACCTGTATCACCCGGCAACGGTTCCCAACCCGGAGGCGGCTCCAACCCCGCCGCCGCCTTCGCCAGGTTCTCAAACGCCTGTCTTTCCCTCGCCGCCTCATACGCCAACAATTTCTCGTCCTCCTCGCCCGGCGCATACCCATAATACGCCGCATCCACCTGCTTCCTCAAATCATCTCTCGTCTCCAACGGCTTCTCATCATCCTGCTTCGCCCTCATCGCCGCCTCAAACAGCTCCTTAACACCAGGCAACTCCCTCGCCCGTCCAAAATACTTATAACCCCTCCCTCCACCAGGTATCTCCCTTCCAGCTTCATCGTACACCTTCCCGCCGCTCCGCATGTAATTCGGGCCGCCCAGGTTGCGGATCTGCACCTCCCACATGTGCTTCTCGCGCATGAGCTTGTTGATCTCATCGTTCAGGTCGCGGATCTGGAAGTCGGAAAGCGCCGGCTCTTGGATCCGCGACACCTTGCGCGAGATCTCCTTTAGAACTTGCCCTCGCCACTTCTCGCAGGCGGGGATGCTGTCTTGCTCGGTGATGGAGCGCGGGCGGCGCGTGCGGCCCGCGTCGATGATGCCTAGGTCTGCGGCTTGCGCTTCGCGGAAGCGGAAGAGCATCGACTGGGCTTTTTCGGAGTTACGCGCCTGGATTTAAGGGGCACTGTTAGTACAGGGATCTTTGTGTGGTTTAAACGGTGGTGATTGAAGGTGTGGAAGGTCTGTTGAGAACTGTACCATTTTGAACGGTGATTATGGGTTGCGTTGGGAGATTAGGTGTTGATTGTCTGTTGAAGGGTATTGCGATTGGTGACCTAGACTTGCTCTTCGAACGAGACAAGTAGGATCGGCTGGTAATTGAAAGGCGCAGTGGGAGGTCTGATTGTGGCCAGCCGTGAACTTTGAAGTGTTGCTAGTCGGAAATTCAAAGATGATGTGCAGGTACAGGAAGGCTGCAAGGCTACGATCGATGCCTCGTTTGCTTGGTGGTGTGGCGTTTCCTGCGATTGTGGCCCGAGCTCCACCGCAGATGATCATAGGGCGCCGCAATTCGAACGCGTCTTGAATTTCAACCTCCTTCATCCAACAACCGCGGTCAGGAGTTTGGTCTCGACTTGACCAGCTCACCTCCGAAACAACGACTATCTGTGACCGCCCTCTGCACGTGGAATGCTCCTCGGGCTGTTGCCGCAGTATCTGCGCGGCCCTGGAGGTCAAGCTCGACGAGGCTTTGGTATGGCTCTCACAGTCTCACTCGGTTGGGGAGCTCCTTCCACGTCTGGCGATGCGGCGATACGGCGATGCGGCGATACAGCGATGCGGCGATACGGCGATGCCCGAGGATGCATCTCGCTCTTGCTGATTGAGCACGCGATTTGGGGATAATGCGAGGCGAGCCAACGTTTATTTGGCGGATACTTTTCTCCGTCAATGCTTTCACCTCTCATTTTCCCGCAACATTCATTTCACCAGCGCCTGGCGACCCTCTTCGAACTCGCAACTAACTACCCCTCCTCAAGTCACATTCCAGTTATCGCAAACTTACCCAGGGCACCACCTCTCTGTCACCCTCGTCGCACCCTGCTGCTACTCCCGAGGTCTTGCAGTGAAGAAAACCATCACAATCCAGGGTGTCTTGATTCCACCGATAGGGGCATCTTCCCTCTTCGAAGAGTTGACGAACCATCTGGCAGAAGATGAAAGCCCAACAAGAACGGATATCTGAGCAGACCTCGACAACACCTCCCATCTCGCATCCCCTCAGCTTTCCCACTTCATCAACACTCTACGTTCTTCCCTCCCCTCCCACCCACATCATTTCACAATCATCACCACCTGGACAAGTGTACATCTGGTCCTCTGCCCTGGACCCGGTGCGGCTGTCGCTTCAACAGTCTCCCCAGCACGAACGTCTCACAGCCAGCTTTATAAATCGCCGACTCCTACCCATGGGGTGGTTCTTAACCGAAAGTTGTTTAAGAACCCCTTACTCCATGGAAGGACCGGGGCTTGGTTGCCGCAAGGCTGGATGTCCTGTCTTGGAGCAGACCTATTCACGCCTGACCCGAAAGGAGACCGGCTCACAGGTATGCTCCCAGGTTATGGACATCATGTGAGACCCGTTCTGCCAGCTGTCGAGGCAAGCATCGGCCTTGGTCCAGAGCGGCAGATCCAGATCGCAGGCGTCCGGATGAAGAACAAGTGTTAGAGGGACCGTCATCCCACACCTTGGATAGCTTGGCTGAACGCACCACGTACCGAGCCCTACTGTTGCAAGCACGATCGATGCCTGGGTGGGTCATGGGGCTGTCCTCAATGACACTCTCACGGGGTTATCCTCAACGACACTCTCGCCTTATCCAGGAAGAGATCGTGCCCAATTGCTGGGGTGAGGCAGAAGGGGGTCTGATGTGCTTGCTGCACGGATATTCTCCTTCGCGCGAGGTACGTTTCCAGCCACACCATGGCCGTGGGCAGTTTGTCCTCCCTGGCTTTTGTTTCCCTCATCCACTCCCCTCTCCCCGTTTCCCTCGCTGTCTTCACTCCCTGGGTTCCTTTCCACAGCCCGCAATGACGAAAAACTAAACCAGAGGTGCGCCGACGCAGAAGGGGTACTTTGTTTCTCTCACTTTCTCTCTGTTTACAGGCGTGAAGGCTTGTAGGGAGACAGACGCCTCTTTCGCGTCTAGAGCAGCACCGATGACGGATAAATGTAGTTTTCAATCGGAGGGGGTTTCCGGGCAGAGCTCACTACTCTTGCCTGGGGGCCTTGGAGTGAGATAGGGAGAGTCATACACCTTTCCCTTATTTCTTCCCAAAACACTGTTTTCTTTGACAACTTGACAATGAACACGGAAGCCCGGTGATGACCGAATTCCAAAAAGCCAAATTTGCAGGCAGCAGAGCTATAGGTCTACAACAAACCTTTCTATCACTGAGAGGGAGATTTGGCTCGTGTTATCAGTGAGAACTTAAGAGAGCTAATCTGAGGGTCTTTCGCGTGTTCATTGTCATCTGTCATTCCCTTCATTCATTTACTTTACTCATCCATTCTGTTTGGGTTGCTGTCTCCGACCAGAGCGTGTAGCTCTCGCTGATAGTTTGCTGTACAACTATCCATGTATACAAATGTTCTACACTACTCGTCTGGGCTGGAAACGCCTCCGGCGACCCATTGCTTGCAATCAGGGTCAGACTAAGGCGTTTCTAGTCCTGACGAGTAGGAATACGCTAGGAAAATATGCGGTTGCGGATGGAACGCAAGATAGTCTCAACCGAGAAAGGAACAATTAAATCAATGGTTTTGACTTTTCATAATGTCGCTACGATGTCGTTCGCGATGCTTGTTGCTATGTAACTAAGTGACGGACGTAAGTGACAAGGACAATGTCCGTTGAAGCTAAAACTATGCAGACTTTCGCCCTCTGATAGGTGAGAAGACACCTAGACTTGGCCAGCCCTCTGAATCTCTGATATCTAGCTGTTCACCAGCGCTATGAATCACAGAAAGTAATACTGTAGTCTAACAGTCCATCTAGGTCCAGGCCGCAATCCACCTTCTCCCTGTACCGTAAGTTTCCCTTCCCGTTATCTCCGGACCGGCTAACCCGGGGAGTCCGGGCTTGCCGTTCCGGTCCCACACACATTGTCATGATTCATTCAGTGCAGTACGGTATGTATCAGATCCAACCAACTCCCAAGTCCAGTTTCCGCTGCTCCATCCTCCACTCAACATGTAGTCATGGAATCTATTAATAACTTGTTTACCTTGCTACCTGCTAATCTGCTAACCTGCTAACCTGGCTCGGATTCCACCGGACCGATAACCGAACCGATGATATGATCGATGACCGATGATCGATGACCGATGACCGATGATCGATAATGGATGGTAGAGCAGCTGGAAGCTGCGAGCTGAGGGGATCATATCTGAGTCTCAATGAGGCGGACTGCCCGCAAAAATGCTTATCCAGTCACCTAGTTGTCGTCCAGCTGATAGGCACTTGATAGACAGTTGATAAGAGGATGATACTAGATACCTAGATCGTTTGGGGGCAAATGATACGATGCTTCAGATACCTAGTGTAGGATGACCTAACTGGCGATTCCGGACGCAGAAATGGCCCAAAATGTTATACATTCAGCATTTCTTTTGATGTTCAACGAACAAATAGTGGACTAGATGGGTAGGTAGATAATGGCAGCTTGGAGATATACGAACCTACCTCTATGGCGCAAGGCAAGATGGTGATGTTCGCCAACAATGTCACAGATTGGAGAATAAAGGGTGCCTGAGACAGTACGTTGTTCGACACTACAAACACACCCTCTTCGGTCTTCCTACCATGGATAGACTTAGCGTCTCAAGTGCCTAGATCGTCTCTGGTATCGTCACTATGCGTGGTAATCTTCCATGATACGACGGATCCATCTCAGGAGAGACAGTCTCTCACATCATAACTATTCGACCCTGACTTCAAGCCAAACCTTTGTCGACAAACGGGCAGTCCTAGCCACCAACTCCCGTTCGGGCCATCTAGTCCAGGCTAATGGTCAACCATTCACAGACAGCCAGAGCAGAGACACACCAAAAGCTGAGGCAAGATGGGGAATGGGGGCGGCTTTGGGAAATGGATTGGGTTATCCTATCACATATTACAGCATTTCAATTTGAATGACATGCATACGGGTAAGGTAGCTTTGGGGCGCCATCTTATTATGCAGATGTAACAGTAGCAGTTGTTTGAAGCAAATGGAAAGTTGAGGTCAGTTAGATGAGGGAAGCATATGTGGAGATGACGGATGAGGTTGTGGGGGGGATCGTGAACGATTGGAGATGCAGGAGATCGGGGACTGGAGGACTGGAGGGCGGAGACTGCGGAGAATGCTGTGATACTTCAAGAGCAATGGACGAGTGGTGTTTTGGGGATGAGACATGTGCATATGTGAATGGCATGCATGGAGAAAGTTCTTAATGGTTTAGATGGCGATGTGGATGGCGATAATTGCCGACTTCGACGCGAGAGGCAAGATGGTTGAAGCTGAGTTAGGGGAGCACGACAGGGCTCTCGCTTGATCGTATAGGCTTGAGACGTCGATGTGGGTTGATGATGATGCGAACATCGACGATGGACTGGACGTGAGTCGTTGTGCGGTTGAGGAGAGTGAACATTGGTGTTGCAGCTGCCTGAATGGTTGAGTGTTGGTTTCTCATCGTGGTGGATAAGAGGAGAAACAATGCCACGGTTCGCAGGGAGAGGGCAGTTTGGGCTTTTTATCGTAAGACGGATCGCATGCGGCACTGCCCTATGGCTGACTCGGTCTTTCTGGGAAACAAATGGTGCGCATCGTTGGTTGTTGTTGTTTTGGGTTCAGCGGTTGTTTCGGGCAGCATTGCCGCTGACTCCGGGCCCCTGGTCATCGCCGGCGCCGATGACAATGATGAAACGAGAAGCGTGCCTTTGACGGTAACCGTCGGTATAAGTTGGAGAAGAACTCGGAAGAATGAGAATGTGGCGACGCGGTTGCGTCAAGGATGACGGGTTAGGAAGGGGAAGAAACCGAGAAAGGGATGAAAACATGAAGCAAAGTTTCGAATCATGCTGATGGGACATTGGCATCTGCGCAGGAGACATCTGAGGCCTGCTTCCCGTTTCTTTATCGACCTTTGACGACATACGCCCAGCGGAAAGAGCATCTTGCTACTTTGCCCATCCTGGTCGTCCCGCCCTTACCCCTCCCTTTGTTTTCTAGGTGCATTCCCTTTCCTCATCCGTGCTTTCCTTTGTTTCCCGGGTGGTTGTTTCTGTTGCGTAGGCTGGCATATTGGGCGCCAGTGGGGTTCTAGATCTCCTGGAGGGCGGCTCGATTTTCGAAGGATGAAACGCCATTTGCTATCTCCGATGCTTGTTATCAAGCAAATGTACGTTTCCATGTGAGGCGATGTCGTGATGAGCGGCACGTAACTTTGAGAAAGAGCTACTCCTTTCGACTCGGACACTAGGTGCATTAACATGCAAAGTCGACCATGCACATACTGCTCAGTATGGTATTACCACACAATCACCTAACGGTGGATTGGCAAATCCGGTATGGAAACAACGGGAAGCACTGCTGGCTGCTGGGTCTCTGCTGGTATTAGCTGTTGGCTCTTACCCTGTTGGCTTCCAGTTCATCATCACCCACAGTTGTCCCTCCTCCTCCTCACCCCTCCTCCTCCTCCTCCTCCTCCTCGCCTTCCTGGAGCGTGTATAATAGTCTGCTCGGTCCCCCTTTCCTAAATCCCACTTTTTCTTTTCTGGTCCTCAAGCTTCCGCTTATAGCATCTTCATTCCTGCTTTTCCCTGTACTGTTCTTCCTCAACCGCATCATAGACATTTTTCAGTCAACGCCACCAAAAATCTCCTCCTTTTCTACTCCTTCATCTGCCTCTGTTATTAGTTATTGGCTTCACATCATAAACAGCGACATTTACAGATCCCCCCCCCCCGGTTGCTTTTCCACCTGATAGAATCATACAACGTTTGAACATTTGCCAAAGGACGAGATGGACGGATGTTACTGCGCAAACTATTACGTTAGTTCATCCTATTCAACCACGGCATTCATCTCCAGATGTTGATTGAGTTCTCACAGGGTTCGATCCGTTGCACCAATGCGGTGATGAGGTTCGGTGAACGATGCAAGATGTGCATGGTAGGTCGCTCCGCGGAACAAAGAAACTTGGTCAGACAAAGAGGATAGTCGGGCTAACCTGATCCCTCCCACATCGCAGTTGCAAAAGACTGGTGCTTCACTCAGCCATGGTCTCCTACCCGAGCATACGGACCTCTATATAGGATCTTCGTCGACGCGTATGGCTCAGAACCGGGGCGATTCTAGGAGCAGCTCTCTCAGTTCTGCCAGGTCTTCTCAGCAGTCGTTATTAGGCAGAAGGCACTGACTGGGTGGAGGGCTTGGTACGATCGAAGAAACATAGCGACGTTTGCGGGACGAGTCGTCAAGAAACAGGAAGAAACAAACAGACAACAGAGGAACAGGATTCCGATGCTACAATAATTGGAAAGACGGTATGAAGGAGATATGGAGATGGAAGCTGGTGTATTGACAAGGAGTTAGGACTGGGTAATCAACATGCTCGAACTGGACTGGAGGAATGTCAGGCAACAAAAGGCAAGGCTTTCCTCGATGCGTCGGATGCGGGGCTGAACGATCTCCGTTCTCCCAAGTTGAGCAGTTGGGGGAGGCGTTTGGTACAAGGGGGGCGTTCTTTGGTTGAAAAAAGTAATCGCTCTCCATTTCTGTCCTTTGTTTAGAGAACCACTAGGAAGTTATGGACCACATGGTCGTGTCATTGATGGTGTCACGAAATTGAGGTGACAAGACGATCATTGACTGGATATACACATACCAGAAGCGTTTCATCAACATCAATATTCTTCCATCCTCATGGCCAGCAAGAGGTTGGACTTGATCAAGTGGTGTTATGTCACCGTTGAAGTGGACCCATCCTTGCGTCTCACCACAGTCGGCGTCGTTGATAGTATCCCCTCTCCTCAGGCTGCGCCAGCTTCTGGATCTCTTCTTTGATCAGCCTTCGCCTCTCGGCCGGACTGACTGCTTTCTTGGCCCGCATATCCGGATCGGGGTGTTCGAGCATTCCTTCTGGGATTTCAATCGGGATGCCTTCGTTTGTCCCTTGTTGTTCCGCCTCATCTGGTGTCGTGCTGTAATCCTGTTGTTGCTGCCCCTGCTGAACCACCAATCTCTCCTGCTCTTTCTGTTGCTGCTTCCTTAATTGCTGCTGTTCTCTGTACTTCCGCGCTCTTTCTGATGATGTCTTTTTATTTTTCGCCTTCTGTGGTATCGACTCTGGTGCTGGTTCCTTCAGTGTCGGTATTGGCTTCTTCTGTTGGTTCTCCTCCTCTGTTTCCGACGTCTCGTGGACCTCCTCTGGCGTAGTGGGTTTGATCTCAATGACAATCCCATCGTCTCGTACCGGGACAACAGTATCATCAGGGAACTTGTTGTTCACCTTTTTGAACTGATCGGGTAAATATGTTTTCGGGGATGGCCTGGGAGCTGGTTTGATGGCCTGGCGAAGGTCCCGCAATGTCCGTTGCTGGATTACATATCCGCTTAGGAAGAGGGCTGCTGTGAAGATAAATACTATTTTTACTACATCAGTCGGAGGATTTCATATGGACAAGGAGGCCGGGTGGTGGGAGATGCATACCGATGCCCGATGAGAAGGCGAGAGATACTTGCGCCGAAGTCAGCAGCATGGTTGATATTTATGTATTGTTAGGTAGGTGGCTGCTGCGTCTATCGTGCCCACAGTGCACGGGGGCTGCAGTTTGCTGAAGGCTGGAGTGAGGACTTGAGATGCAGTTTGAAGCCAAAGTCCGCATGTAAACAAACGGTGGGATTTTATCACCAACAAAACACCGAATGAGAGAGAAGTACATATGCAGGTTACCTTTGAAGAACTGTATTTTCACATTCCCGTTTGAGTCTCCATCTTCGTGTCCCTCCCCCGTCACCTCTCCCAGCCCCTCCTTTCACACGCCGCACACCGCGCTTGAGGCTGTCGCTTGTCGCTTCATTGGAAGATCTGAGCTCGCTGTGTCAGTCACAACAGCTGAACACCGCCAGTCGTTGGAGACTTGGAGGGGCACCCTGGGCGCCTATCGCCTACTTATCGATAGCCGGCAGTGCAGTGTTGGGTGCGATGATTGCCGGCTTGGTGCGTTAGATTGCCTGCCGCAAATGCCCGCCGTGTCTGCTTGTGAGACTTGGCGCTGTCAATCATTCGAACCTCGACCTCGACCTCGAATTCCACTGTCAACAACTTTTGGTTCCCTTCCTGTCCCCAAGAAACAACGCCAACACCACAAAGCCACAACCACCGAATCCTTCACACCCTGCGGCCACTACATATTTCTACACGACAAGGACATGAGCAAATCCGAATTCCATCGCGCCGATGAGCGCCGCTTCCTCGACGAGCGTGGCTCCTCGGGCCCGCTCGCGCCCAACGGCCTCAACCCCGCGACTATAATGGAAAAGGCGGTCCGCGAACGCATCATCGACAGCTACTTTTACAAGGAACAGTGTTTCGGTGTCAACGAAGCCGACATTGTGGACCGCGTCGTCGAGCACGTCGACTACATCGGCGGCGTCGCTGGCACCGTCCAAAAACCCACGCCATTCCTCTGTCTCGCCTTCAAGCTGCTGCAGCTCGCGCCCTCCGACGACATCCTAAACGAGTATCTACAATTTGGCGGCGAAAAGTTCAAGTACCTGCGCGCACTGGCACTGTTTTATATCCGCTTGACGAGGAAGGACCATGACGTGTACAAGACGCTGGAGCCGTTTCTGGAGGACAGGCGGAAGCTGAGGAGGAAGGGCAGAAACGGGACCAGTTTGACGTATATGGATGTCTTTGTTGACGACCTGTTGACGAAAGATCGCGTTTGCGCTACGAGTCTGTGGAAGATGCGGAAGAGGGACATCCTGGAAGATCTAGACATGCTTGAACCGCGCGTCAGTCCGTTGGGGAACATTGAAGATCTATTGGAAGAGGAGGACGAGGAAATGCGCAAGGCAGAGGAGGAGCAGAATAATAACGACAGCGAAAGCGAGGGAGAGATCAGGTCAAGGACACGTTCGAGATCCAGGTCGAGGTCAAGAACACGATCAAGATCGCGCACACCTAGGTCACGGTCCAGGTCGAGATCTTATTCCCGGTCCCGATCACCAGTAAGGAGGAGAAGATCAAGGACGAGATCGAGGTCGAGAACACCGGAGGACGGAAATGACAAGGAGAGAATGGATGTCGGACCAGAGTAACGCCAGCAGACTCGCCAGCAAAGCTCTTGATGTGGAGGTAGGGACGTAATGTCTGCCACTTGTACAGGCCTGTGCCCCAGAGAGGGCTTCATATGCAAGACTTGGGAAGAAGGTGCAAACCCTTTCCAAGCAGGGCTTCCTAGGAGGATTTCTAGACCCTATCACGTCCAAGGTCAGATGTGAGCGGTACAAACAGTTGTGGCTATAACCTGCCATTCCAGGCTTCGACATTATTATTTGTGCCTCGAGGAACACCTGTCGATTTTCCATATTCAGATCCAGATTTGGAATATCGCTGCATGGCGGAGTCATTGATCAAGGCTCAAGGCGATCTTCCGCCGTTGCACCTAGGTGCATCAGCATGGCTGTTTCGAACCCGCGGACCAGCACATATGCTCCTTCAACTCTCGATCGCCACCAAAACCACTGCGTGATACGCGGCGGAGGCAAAGGGCATATTTAAATATGCATGTTGGGTTCAGGTCCGATGCTAAATATATTTAATAGTACTGCATCCTGCACCACCAAACTTGGAAGGCAATTCAGGATACCCAACTTGACGTTTGCTGTCTACGAGTAAAAAACAAGCCATTTGCCATTTCCTCACAAGGATTTCTCTTTCCATCTCTTCACCAAACTCGCCATCATCACCGAGGACCATCTTTTGTTCCCTCCCTCTTGTTGCGGTTCTCGTAACAGCAAACTTTAGTGTTCATCATCACTCCTGGCAGTTTCCATCTGCCAACCCGATAGAATCATGAGTTTCACGAAATATCTTTGCCTGGGGATTAATCCCATCTATCTCGCTTTTCCCATTTTCCCTCTTCTCTTCCTCTGTTGCACCATCCTCAGAGTAGGTCTTTCTCTAAGACACGATGACGAAATCCCACTCCATGTGCAACGATTTCGGGGTAATGCCCGAACAACTCGACAACATAGACCGAACCTCGCCGTGCGTTATCTCTCTCTCTTGTACCTCTACGAATGAAATCCATTTGCTAACTTTTCACGAGGAGTTTTGTACACTATATGCTGAGATTATCGACACTTTACACGGTAGGTCTCCGACTACGAGGGACTCCTTACCTTGTTAACTTTGTACATTTGCTGATGACTATCTGCTTCCATTAGAAATCCCAACGACTCAGGAAATCGTGGGCAGCCGCTCGTCTGTAGTACCAGGTAGGTCTTCCATTATGTATGAGTGATTCATCGAGATTGTCCTGTTTGTTGATAACATTTCTTCATTAGAAATGCACCAGCTTTGGCAAAAGTTTGGCTGCCGCCGTCTTCGCCACATTACTGGTCCTTAGCGCCCGGCGTCTTAAGAAAGAAAAGCCACGACATATACTCCCACAACCCGAAGACACTGACGCCATCGATACAAAACACCCGCACTTCCCACCTCCCACACTCCTTCTCCCGTGCCGCAAATGCAACGCGATAACGACGATCTCTCTTTGGATCAGCAACAATTGACGGAGGATAGCTGTCGCGAGAATGTGACACAGAGAGCTGGACCCCAGGTCACCCAACATTCCTTTGCAACATGTCCCGTTTATACTTCCCACGAATCTCTATGGGTCTGCAACACTGTTTCCAAATGGCTTAACAAATCAGGATAGGAAAGTCTCGCCTGGTTGTGGTGGTGGCCAAAGCATGGTCAAGAAGCATGGAAGCCGTCTTATGTTTGCCATCTTGGGAGGAATTGCAAAAACTACTCTCTGGGGTTGCCTGCAGCGCTTTCGTTCTTCGATCGGATACTTAGTGGTGTTTCCTTCCTTCTGTTTCCTATCATTACTTTAAAATCTGCGCTTGGTCTGGAGTCAACTTCAAAGGACAACACTTGCTGGGTGGGTTCAACATCAACTTCAACGTGCTCTGACTATCATACTCTTTTCTAGAGAGTATCCAAAGCCTATATAGTTATAATGACAAACTCAGACTTCGTGCTTCTACAAAGAGTTCTCCTGGCACGCTTCAAGGTTCCCGACAAACTCAGGATGTCGAAGTCTGTGTGAAAACAGACCATTTAAAAATATCTACCAATGAGGATGACTGAGGCTCCTGACTCGTAAGAAAATTATATTCATGTTCTGTGAGATTCACAAAGTACGTAGCCATGCCTAGGAATAGTTATCCTCAAGTCCATGGGGAAATCCGAGACGACTAACACGCAGTTCGTGGACGTCAGACGCACTGTAACCCTAACCCTTATCAGCCTTATCACAGCAACATAATGCCCGGGAATCCCCTCTCGAGCTCTTGAAGCTCTCGTCCGAAGCTCTCCCGATTCCCGACCACAGTGAAAGTGCAGAAACATGGTGATCCGACACCGCAACCGACCCAATTGAGCGCCAAATCGAGCTGGGTCGTGACCAAGAAACCACATGTCAGCTAGAATTGGGCGGCTGCGGGGCCTGTGTCTGCGCCATGTGAGCTCGACAAGGCAAACGTCGCCCATCCAGCGACGCTTCCTGAATCAGTTTATTTCCAGAGGTACCGAACGAGCATCTATGGTATTTGCATGTTTATATACCCGCTGACAAGGACCTGCTCTGGTTTGTAGTGCAACAAGATGACCTACCTGTGCTCGAACAGCGGCAATTCCGTCTTGCCGTAAAAGACAACATTGCCACGGTCTCTCCCAACCCCGAAGAGGAAACGCCTCTGACGACGACATGCGGCTCCAACTTCCTCGCCAACTACCGCAGCCCCTTCGAGGCCACCATCGTCACCCAATTGCGATCGCGCGGCGCTCTCTTGGTCGGCAAGACCAACCTCGATGAGTTCGGCATGGGCAGCCACTCGGTACATACGGCCTTTGGAGCAGTCGCGCAGGAGGGGGAACAGCAAGCAGTCAACAAGCACTCCGCAGGCGGCAGCTCAGGTGGAAGTGCCGTAGCGGTAGTCACCGGCGAAGCGGACATTGCTCTTGGCACCGACACGGGCGGCTCAGTCCGGTTACCGGCCGCGTACACGGGCGTGGTGGGATTTAAGCCCTCGTACGGAATGATCTCACGCTACGGCGTGGTTCCGTACGCCAACTCGCTCGACACGGTAGGATTACTGGCCAAGGAAGTGCGGCCCATCACTGAGCTTATTCTCGGATCGGGAGAGGCCGAGGGTCTCTGGGCCGAACACGACCCACTCGACCCCACGAGCCTTTCCCCGGGAGCGCGCAGACGATGCGCCAGCCAACGGGACTGCTACCATAGCGGTCCTCTCTCCAAGCACCCATACCCGCTCAAGAATCTCAAGTTCGGCTTGCCACTAGAGTACAACATCACCGAACTCTCGCCCTCGATCCGCGCCGCCTGGTCCGCCGCCGCCGCCAAGCTGCAATCCCTCGGCGCCCGCCTCGTTCCCGTCTCCCTGCCCTCGACCCGCCACGCCCTGTCAGCTTACTACGTCATCGCGCCCGCCGAGGCTTCGTCCAACCTGGCCAAGTACGACGGCATCCGGTACGGTACGCGGTTTACGTCTCCTACGGAAAGTGATGCTGCTGTTTCAGAAGGACAGGAAGAAGCACAAGGAAACCTCTACGCCCGCGCCCGCGCCGCCGGTTTCGGTGATGAAGTCAAGCGCCGCATTCTTCTAGGCGCGTACACGCTCTCCTCGGCCGCTATGGACAATTACTTCCTCAAAGCGCAAAAGGTGCGGCGGCTGGTGAGGCGGGACTTTAACCGCGTTTTTGCGCTGCCTAACCCTCTGCTGGACAAACCGGAGAGCTTTGAGCTCAGCGAGCTGCCGGAGACGGTCGGGCTGGAGGATAAGTGGGGGCCTACGGAGGTGGACTTCCTGCTGTGTCCAACGGCGCCGATGACAGCACCGAAGCTGGAGGAAGTGCTGAGTGAGGAGGAGAAGGATCCCGTCAACGCTTATATGAATGATGTTTTTACTGTGCCGGCGAGCTTGGCGGGGTTGCCGGCTATTAGTGTGCCGATGAGGGTTCAAGAAGAAAAGGAGGGGACGGGTATGGCTGGGTTGCAGCTTATTGGGCAGTATTGGGATGATGCGAGACTGTTGGCTGTTGCGGAGGCTGTGGCTGGTGTTGTTGGCGAGGAGCTCTAGGGAACATATAACTCGATGACGCTTGTATGCCAAAGATCACACATATACACAGTATGCATGGTGTTGAGGTATATTTGGGTTTGTTTACATAGTGATTGATACCCCTGCATATCCAGCATTACATCCATATCATTAACCTCCCATAAGGCACAGAGATAAATCCCGACCTCCTATCATACAGTACCGCCCAGATAACTGATATGAAAAACATAAAAAGAAATATCCAATTAACTCCATCACCTACCTGGCTACTTGGGTATCCTTCCAACCTCTTTGTCTTCCACTCATTCATTTATGCCCTACCAAATGCCACTCAAAGACCTTGTCGTACACCTCCTTCCCGTTCCCCACAATCGTCTCCCCATGGCAGGGCACAATCGTCTCAAACCCCCACTCCCGAATCCTCCTCACGCTCGCATTAAAACCCGTCCTGTCGCCTCGACTAATCGCATACCACAAAAACCGCTTGATCCCCTTCGCCTCTCCCTCGGTCGAATTCATGCCCATGAAAAACCTCGTCAGGAAACCCCCCTGCGGTTTCTGTTCCTCCGGAACCTTGCTGTACTGCTCCACAGCCGGCAAGTTGAACATGAGATCAGCCTCGATCAGGACCCTGTCGGGCTTGTAGTAAAACACCAGTTCCTTGTTGGGATGGGCATCGACGTATTCGTACTCGAAATCCTGATCAAAGGCGTCGTCGATTCTGATGGAGGATTTGTTCTCCTTGGTGAAGACCACGGAAAAGGGTTCGTTACCGATGCGCTCGTCGTTGGTCACTTTGCTCCGCTTTTCGGGAAGACCTTCGGGGCCGATGATTTTGGCGTTGGGAAAGGCGCGCGCCCATTCGGACACGAAGATGTGGTGCTCGATGTCGGTGGCGATGATGTAGGATACTTGACCTGTGCCGAGGGTGGAGATCTTGGATAGGGCGGAGGGGGTGAGGGAGACGGGGGAGAAGACTGCTAGGGTGCCGTTGGAGAGTTTGACTGTTTGAGGTGGGAGAGGTTGTATTAGTGAAGATGTTCTGATAAGCCATCTGCAGGTTCCGGTTTTGGACACAGAAGAATGTCTTACCCAAAGTTCCCCTCCCTCCAATAGGGATCTTCCCGAACCTAAGAAACGGAACAGAAAAAGTGACCACGTTGGGAGTGACATCCCGAATCACCATCACCTCGTCCGGATTCGAGGGGACCAGTTTGTGCGACATGTTGTTGTTTGGTCCTATGTCTCGTCCTATCCCGGGGCGGAAGTAGACTACGGCTCCTACGGAGGCGGCGGCTAATGAGAAGAGGACGGTTGCGATGATGGGCTTTGTCGAAGCCGTTTTGTTGGTATTGGAAGATGGTGGGCTTTTGAAGGTGCCGCGCGGAGAGAAGGGATATCGAAAAGGGTTGGTGGTGCTGAAGAAGATAATGCTGGTGGTGGAGGGTTGCTGGTTGATGTTATATTAGTTGGTGATGTTGTGTTTATATAGTTTGTCAACAGTCAGACTGAAGATGACAAGATGTGAACGTGATGGAAAGCTTGTGTCAGTGACACATGAGAATTTGGAATGATTTATTACAACCACAAAGATGGAGGGTTGGTTTCTTATCATATGACAGGATTTCTCAACTTGGTCGGCATACAAACCCAAAACGGGCAATCTGAGATCACTTACACCGGTTCTCAAGGAGGCTGTGTACAAGTGTTTGGAAAACAACGACGGATCGCAGACGCGTCCCGGCAGCCTCGGCATCGTGATTACTTATACGGAATCTGTATATAGAGTCCTAAACAACAAGAAGGGATCCGTGGTGAGGGAGGTACACTGAGGTTGTCGTAGTGTCCGTCTCCAAAGGAGATGAGGTGATTGATTGGTGACATCATGGCTACGGGACCAAGCAACACTCCGGGGTCCCGTTTCGGAGGGGTCGCATGGGGACCTGCAGTCCACTTTCTAGCGCTGGTTTGGGTATGCGGGGCCGTTGACGATGGAGCCATAACCGGTTCGGGGACTTTTGGCTGTTCCAGGCCTCACGAGCCCCTGAATTAGTAAGCAGCTGAGCAACTTACAGCGGGCGGAATTTCCTCCGCGGGTCGGTGTTCCGGTCCTTGAGGTTTTTACACGGCATCTTCCACAACATCTGAGACATCCGAATAACTTCTACAACCTCATCGGCTGAAATCTTAGTTCTCAATCTCCGCTCCGCGAGGTTACATTTCAAGGGACTGTTCCATGTGGAAGTGTCTCAGTTCTACGACGACTCCTTTATCGATCTTCAGGAGTTCATGTGAGAGCACACCAGTGAGGCCGGTAACAGCCATTCAGATTTCCAAAGCATTAATCAACTCCATTAACCCCTAGGTAAGATATCCAAAACATAACAAAAAAAGAAAGACAAGTACACTAGAGAAACAACAGAAAATACGGTAAAAGATACCCCTTTAGCGCCAGAGAAACAAAACATCTTCTATCCCGCAAACCTTAACCTGTATATCCCGAATTCATCCAAATCCTCCTCATGTTCTCCTAATCATCAACGGTGTCCCATCGGCATCATACACCCCCGTCCCATTCCTCCATGCGCTTCCCCCCATAGTCACTCCCAAACAAAAGAGGATGTACCACATAATCATTCATCAATCCCAACAGGAACTCCAGCGGTGGCTCAAACCAGAACCGATGATCAACCTTCATAGGCGACCAACCCGGATACGGTTCTCTCCCGATCAAGCTGCGCAAGTACGGTCCCCTCCAGTCATTGGCATTTATCCACACTCGCCTCTCTTGCAAGATGGCGTAGTATGTCAGCGTCATGCCCACAAAAAGGAGGGTGACGGTGAAGCCGACGAGCGATGAGGCCGTGAGCCAGGACGGGATGCCGAACGCCGGTCTTTGTAAGCCGGCGTAGATATCCGTTGTTGGCGTTGGCATCTTCTTACTCTTGGTTCTGGACTCATCCTGGTGACGATACCGTCTGACGGCAACTTGGCTATAATACTTGGCCCAGCTGAACAGAAACTGCGGCAGCCGCAGGATAGTGAGCATGCCGGAGACGCCCACGGTAACAAAGTGGTAGGGTTGGATACAGACCAACATGGCGAACCAGAGCATCGCCGTCATGATATAGCAGAGCGCTGTCTGGACTTCAGGGAAGTGTTGGTGGTTGTGGCCGTGGTACATCGACGATAGTACGACGGGCTGATGCTGAGACGTCTTTGTAGAAGAGGCAAGTTGTTGCGCCTTCTTTGGTCTCTGGCAATCCAGACACGTCGGCCCTTGGTTCGTAATCTTCCTCACAACACTCGGCGCAAAGAACTTCATCAAAGCGCAGAAGCACAACTTCTCTCCTCTTCGTTCCGGCAACCTTGCAACCTCCAAGTTTACCAGCGTCTTGGTCACTTGCTTCTCCACCACCCGTCTCTGGCGCGTCTCATCCAGATCCAGATCCCTCTCAAGCAACCTCGTCCTTCCACGGCTCCAAGCCAACCACTCCCTGAATCGATCCATCAACTCCATATGAGTCCTCTGCGCAGCAACTGCATCCTCAGCCGACCCTTTACCGGAAGAGGAAGCAGCCCGTCCATTAAACTCCTTCTCCAACCCATCAATCATCCGTTCCAACTTATCTTGCTTCCTCCTCTGCTCCGCCAACTCCCTCTTCATCGTCTGCCTAACCACCACCCTCTCCTTATCGTCTGCTCCTCCATTCGTCTCTCCCTCCTGCAACGCTCTCCTCGCTTCTCCCAACAACCGATCCAGCTGCTCCTGACTCAACGCGCTCACGCTGCTCCCCACAGGCATCGGAATCATCTCCATGAAATCATCAATCACCCTCACCAACCTCTCGCTCCCATCCGCCGACAGCTTGGTGACAAGCGGCTCGCCGCAATCATCGTATGACGTATCTGATGCTATATCCGAACCTGAAGAAGACGCGGCTGCAGCTGCCGCCAGACGGGTCTTGTAATCCTCCAACAACCTTTGGTGGTTCTCCTGCTCCTCTTGCAGCTCGGCAATGGTGTTCTTCATGCGCGCCAGTTGCGCCTCGTTAGTCCCCGCTTCGCGGAGGAGGTTTTCGATGCGCTCTTCGTTTTCTGCGATTTGCGACTTCTTCGTGGTGATGTCCGCGTTCAGGTCGGTGATGACGGACTGAAGCGAGGCGATCTCGGCTTCGCAGGCTATGAGGCGGGCCTGTGTTTCCGCGGCGCGGCGGGCGAGTTCTTCTTGCGAGGTGGTGCTGGACTGGGTGAGTGAGTCGTAGGCATTTTGGCGCTCTGCGAGTTGGGATTTGTAGGAATCGAGTTCCGACTCGAGGGTTTCGATGGCGGACTGGAGGTCTTGGATGGCTGCCTGTTTCGCGTCGAGAGCGGATTGTTTGGCGGTGAGTTCCTGCTTCAGCTGCTCGATATCCTCGTTGCGCTGTGCAACGTTGGCGCCTTCGTCCCTGAGCGCCTTGGTCAGGTTTTGGATATCGGCCTGAAGACCGTCCCGCTCTTCGCGCAAGCTGGCCAGCTCGTTCTCGTTCTGGAACAACTGAGCATTCAGATCCGTGACCTTGACGCCTAGCCGGTCGAGCGAGTCGCCCTCGTTAAGGGCACGGTTTCGCAGGCCGATGTTGATATCTTCGAGGCTCTTGTTTCTGGATTTCTGCTTTTCCAGCTCGATTCTGGCTGCGTTTTCGGAGTTGGTAAGATCTAGGATCTTAGCCTCGCGGAGGTCCAATGATCTCCTCCGGCAAAGAACTTCTCCTTCAAGATCCTCCACTTTCTTCTCGAGAGCAGTCTTCTCCTTCTCGAGCTTTTCCAGAGAAGTTTCCTTGGCGGCGATACTTTTCTTGAGATTGCTAAGTTCGCCATCGCGATCCTTCAGCTGCTTGTCCTTCTCGGCAACATCCTTCTTCAGACCCGCCACCTCGGCCTTGAGTCTATTAATCTCCCCCTGTCTTGTCGCCAACAGCTTTTCCTTGCGCTTGATTTCCTCCTCTGTTTTCCTGATACTATCATTCAGCTTGTTAATCTCCGTCTGGTGTTGATCCACCATCTCCTGCCAGCTCTTATTGTCCTCCTTCAACTTCACGGTGTCCTTGTTGAGCTTGACAGTTTCGTCGGTGAGCCGCTGGACGTCAGATTTGAGCTTTTTGATCTCGTCGGCATTTTGCTTCAGCGAAATGTCCCCGGTGTCGAGAGCCTCGTTGAGCTTCGCCATTTCAGCTCGAAAATCGTTGATCTCTTCCATCTTCTTGGCCAGATCAGCGTCCTTAGACGAGATGTCTTGGTTCAGACCGGCGGCTTCGTTCTTGAACTTGGCGGATTCGGCCGTGAACGCTTAATTTCCTCGTTCAGCTTCTTGATCTCGTTGTTTTTTGCGATCAAGTTGGCGTCTTTGGCGCTGGTATTTTGGCTCATCTCCTTGGCGTTGTTCTCGAGTCGCGTCTTTTCAGCAGTCAGTTCCTGGATGTTCTTCTCAAGGGCCTGGATGTTCGCCTCCCTTTGCGCAAGGGTCTTGTTCTGGCTGCTGATGTCGTTGGTGAGCTTTTCGATACTGGCGTTGAGCTCCTTGGCTTCGGACGTAAGTTGCTGGATAGTTGCCGTCAGAGTTTTGATTTCCTGGTCCTTGGCGAGCAGAGAAGTCTCGTGGGCGCCGATGGTCTGGCCTAACTTGGCATTTTCTTCTTCAAGTGCAGCGGCCTGACCCTCCAGCTTCTTGGCGCCTCCCTTGAGGTTATCGATATCCTGGTTTGCTTTCTTGAGGGAAGCCTCCCTTTCGCCGATAGTTTGGTCCTTTCCAGCGTTCAGCTTCGTGAGTTCGGCTGCCTTCTCTTCAAGTGTCTTGATGTTACCATTGAGCTCGTCGATATCCCTGTTCGCTTGCTTTAAGGAAGCATCTCGCTCGCCAATGGTTTGTCCCAAGTCCTTCTCCTTCGTGAGAATGTCAGCTTGAGTCCGGAGTTGCTTGATTTCTTTCTCAAGGCCAGAAATCTCCTCCTCCTTCTTCTTCAAAGAACCGTCTTTGGAACTGATCGTCTGACCAAGCGTCTCCTTCTCCTTCTGCAGGCCGCTGGCTTCATTTTCGAGCTGTTTGATTTGCTCCCTGAGCTTACCCACTTCCTCGTTCTTCTTGGAAAACGTACTGTCCCGAGTCTTGCTAGTCTGGTCCAGCTCCTCGGCGGTATCCTTGAGCTTCTGGATTTCTTGCTGGAGCCCAAAGATTTGGTTCTTCTCTTTCAGAAGAGCATCTCTGTTAGCGAGATCTTTGGCGGACTTCTTGGAATCTTGGGCAGACTGCTTGGCCTGGTTGTTAAGCTCGCGGATCTCCTTGCGAAGAGTGGCGAGTTCCTTCTCCTTGCCTTGGATTTCGGCATCCTTGTCGACACCTTCCTTCTTCAGCTTTGCGACCTCGCTGTTGAGATCGCTGATATCTGCTTTGAGGTGCTCGACTGCCTCGGTCTTTTGAACCAAGCTCTTGTCCTTGGCAGCCGCATCTTCCTTCAACTTCGCGATGTCGGCCGCGAGACCCTTTACATCCTTCTCCAACTTCTCGATGTTCGCTCTGTCTTGCGCAAGCTGGCCATCTTTAGTGGCAACATCTTGATTTAACCCCTTCACCTCCTCAGTCTTCTTTGCCAGGTCAGCCTCTTTAGCACGAATCTGCTCCCGCAGCTTAGCAAGCTCAGCGTCCTTCGAACCAATCTCGCCCGTCTTCTGCGCCAGACCAGCCTCCTTGGTGCTGAGATCTTGCTTCAACTTCGCAAGGTCCTTCTCAAGCTTGGAGATCGCGTCCTTGTCTTGGGCGAGTTGGGTATCTCTGCTGGTGACATCTTGCTTCAACCCCTTGACTTCATCAGTCTTCTTCGCCAGGTCAGCCTCTTTAATACGGAGCTTGTCCCGCAATTCGGCAAGGTCGACGTCTTTATTGCCAATTTCACCCGTCTTTTGCTTCAGACTGGTATCCTTGGCAGTGAGCTCCTGCCTCAACTTTGTCACATCGGCATTGAGACTCGCGATGTCCTTCTCAAGCTTGTCGACGTTGGTCTTGTCCTGCGCGAGTTGGGCATCCTTGGTAGTGACATCTTTCTTCAACTCCGTGGCCTCGTCAGTCAGCTTCTTGACGTCCTTTTCCAGAGCGTTGGCTTCCTCGGTCTTCTTGGCCAGGTCAGCCTCCTTGGCTTGGAGCTCGCCCTCCAGTTTGGCGAGCCTAGCGTCTTTGGCCTCGTTTTGAGTTTTCTTATATTTCAGACTTTCGTCCCTGGCATTGAGGTCCTGCTTCAGCTTTGTGTAGTCGGATCTGAGCGCAAAGATGTCGTTGTTGAGTTTCGAAATCGTGGCCTTGTCCTTTTCGAGCTGGGCTTTTTTGGCGGCGACGTCCTGATTCAAACCCATGGCCTGGTCGGTAAGCGTCTGGACGTTCTTTTCGAAGGTCTTGTCTTCATCCGTCGTTTTAGCCAGGGCAGCGTCTTTGGAAGCAATTTCTGCCTTCAATTTGGCAAGCTCGGCGTCTTTGGCGCCGACGTCCTTCGTCTTTTGAGCCAGGCTGGCATCTTTGTTCTTGACCTCCTTCTTGAGCGTGTCGATGGTGCTGTTGGCCGTCTTGATGTCACCGTTAAGCTTCTTGATGTCGTCCTTGAGCTGATCGATTACCTCTCCCTTGTCGCCCAAGGTGGCATCCTTGGTGCTGATCTCCTGGTTCAACCTGTTGATGTTTTCCTTGAGGGATTGGATGTCCTTGTTCTTGTTCGCTAACATGCTCTCCTTAGCTTTGGCATCATTGTCAAGCGTGTCCTTAGTGCCGTTCATGTCTTTGATGTCCTTGTTGAGGCTATCAACTTCGGATTGGGATTGCTTCAGCTTGTCCTTGCAGCTGCTGGTTTCGTCAGTAAGCTTCTTGTTGTCGTCCGACAGCCTTTCGATTTCGGCCATCGTGCCTTCCAGAGTACTTTCATGTTCACCGATCTCCGTCTGGTATTTCTTGATCTCATCCCGGAGCTTCTTGATGTCTTCGCCCTTCTTCACCAGCTCCTCTCCCTTGCCCATCATCTGGGCATTCAGATCCGAAACCTGGCCCTGCAACTTCTTGATCTCACCATCTTTCTTGTCGACCACGACCCATTGGTCCTTGTTGTCCTGCGTGAGTTGAGTGACTTGGTCCTTGGCGTCCTCCAGCTCGGCCTTCTTAGCTACGAGATCGCTAGAGAGCCGCTTGGCGGTGTCCTTGAGTGTCTGGATTTCCTTCTCGTGGTCGGCAACGATCTTGTTCTTGTCCTCGACCTCCTTCTTCAACTTGTCGACCTGTTCTTGCACCTTCTCAGCCTCCTCTTGGTTCTGGAACTTCTGGTCTTCCCAGTACTGCACATCGCTCTTGGCCAATTTGAGATCCTTTTCCAGCTTCGCAACTTCTTCTTGCGTGTGCGCCAACGAGGCGCGGTAGTTGTTGGCATCCATGTTGGCCCGCTTGTACTTCTTCTCGTAATCCGCCAGTGACTCCGATTTAGCGGCGAGGTCACGCTCGAGCTGTTTGAGGCGGGCTTCGGTCTCCGCCTTCTTCGCGAGGTCGGCTTGGTATTGCTTCATCTGGGTCTCCTTCTCTTCCGAGTTGCCGCTGAGCTCTTTGAGCTTGGCATCCAGACCTTGAACCCTGGCAAAGCTCTTGTCCGCCTCGATGTTGAGATTCTTCCTCTCCTCTTTGATTTTTTCAATCTCGGCTTTCTTGTTGTCGATGTCAGTCTGGAGCTTGGCGTTCTGAATCTCAAGGTCCTTGATCTGATCTTTCTTCTGTTGGACCTCCCAGTTGAGATCATTGGCTCTGCTTTGGGAAGTCTTCAGTGTGGCCTCCTTTTCCTTGATATCGGCATTGAGTTGCTTGTTGGTCGTCTGGATCTCCGCCAGCTCCTTCTCCTTCTTCTTGATGTCATCCTTGAGATTGGCAGTTTCCTTCTGGTAGTCCGCCTTGAGGGAATCGAGATCGCGCTCGTATTTCATAACCTCCTTGTTCTTGGCGACGATCTGGCTGGTCAGATTTGCGACATCCTTCTCCTGCTTCTCCTTGAGATCCTTGATGTCTTTCTCCAGCATCTCTTTCGAGCCCTGCTCGGCATCAACTTTGCCCTGGAGACTGTCTATCTGATTGTCGCGCCTGGCCACTCTCGCCTTCTCTTCCGCGAGGTCGCTCTCAAGCTTGTTGACCCTGCCCTCGAGGTCCGTGACCTTCTGTCTCTTCTCGTTGATCTTCTTGTTGAGGGCGTCGACGTCGGCTTGAAGCTTGGTGGCATCGGTTCCTTTTCTGACCAGATCGTTTTGCTTCTTCTGGAGATCATCAAGCTGCACTTGTAGGTTCCCAACCAATTGGTTCTTCCGCGACAGCTCGCTCACCTTCTCTTGTATCTCCCTGCTGAGCCTGGATGCGTTTCCGGACTTCAGAGCAGCGACCTCGGCTTCCTTGGCTGCCAACTTGGCCTTTTGATTGCTGAGGTCAGTGTTGAGCCTCTTGATCTCGTCTTCGTGCCGGCGTTTGAGATCGGAAGTTTCCGTCTCCTTCTTCTGCAGGTCGGCTCGCTTGTTAGAAACGCTGGTCTCAAGGTCCTTGATTCGGGCTTTCCGATCATTGACGTCCTTGGTAAGAGCCGTGATCTCCTTCGTTGCCTTGTCCAGTTCACTCGTCTTGGTCGCAATGGTTTGCTTGTACTGGGCGATGGCAAGGTCCTTCTCCTTACTTCCACCGGCCGTCTTTTGGGCTTCGTCGTACTTCTGCCTGAGGCCCCTAAGCTCGCCATCTTTCTTCAGAAGCTCGGTGGCCTTGTCGCTGATTTCCCTGTTGATATTCTGCAAGTTCTGGCGGTTCTGGACCTTCACGTCTTCCAGTTCGGTTTCCTTTTGAGCCAAAGTCTTCTTCTTCTCATCGATAGTCTTCTCCAGCGCATCAAGCTGTTCCTTGTGCTTCTTCTTGAGGTCGGCAAGGCCGACTTCCTTCTGCTTCAGCTTGGCCTTTGTGTCTTTGATCGTCTGGTTGAGATCCGTGGTTTCGGCCTGATGCTTTTTCTTCAGAGTGTCGAGTTCAGCCTGTTGCTCATCCAGCTTCTTCTGCTTATCCCTAACATTGTCGTTGAGCTTGTTGAGCTGGCGTGAGTTCTGGTCCGTAGAGCTAGCTGCGGTGCCCTCTTTCGTCTTCAGCTCATCCTTCTTTTCCTTAAGGCTCTTCTCTAGCAGGGCAATCTTGGCGTCGTAATCTGCAGTAGACTTGGTGAGGCTGTCCTTTGACTGCTTGAGTTCATGCTGTGCTTTCTGCAACTGGTCCATCTTTTCGCTGATCTGGCTGTTGAAGTCCGCCACTTTGGTTTTGTGCTGTCCTTTGAGATCGCTGAGTTTTTCGATCTTGTTCTGCAACGAATCAGAATTGTCGGCGACATCCTTCTTCAATTTGGCGAGCTCGGCTTCGTTCAGCTTCTTGAGTTCGTCGAATTCGGCCTCTTTCGCGCTGAGTTTGGCAGACTTGTCATCGACCTTCCCCTGGAGAGTTGCAACCTCGCCCTCGAGCTGAGCTTTCTTCTTATCGAACTCCGCTCTATCTTGCTTCAGCTCAGTCTTGATGTCGTTGATACGGTGCTCAAGGTTCTCGATCTTCTTCTTGTGTTCCTCTGTCATCTTCTTGATTTCCTTTTGGTGACTATCCTTGAGGCTGGTAAATTCCCCTTGATGCTTGGTCTTGAGCTCCGAGATCTTGCCTTCATAGTCAGCTGTGACCCTGGCGATTTCTGACTTCAGCTTCCCTTGCAAATCGTCACTCTTGACCCCGTGATCCGCTGTGAGCTTTGTAAGTTGAGCTTGACTTGCCGAAAGTTGCTCTTTGGACTCTGCTAGCGCCATCTTCTTGTCTGCGAGCTCAGCCGACAGCTCTTGGACACATTGCTGGTACTGGTCAGCAATCTTATTCTTTTCGTTGAACCGCTTCGTAAGGTTGTCGAGCTCGGTTTTGTGTTGGGCCTCGAGCTGCTTCTTTTCCTTTTCGTACTTCGATTTGAGATTGGCGAGATCGTTTTCGTGCTGCTTCACCTTGACAGCGTCCTTGTTGGTACTGTTGCGGGAGAGTGAATCCAGGTCATTCTTGTATTGCTCTTTGATCTTGGATATCTCTTCTTCCAGCTCTTCGACACGCGATTTGTGCTGCTTGTCAAGATTCTGAGTTTCTTGCACATGGTGGTTCTTGAGCTGATTGATCTCGGCGTCCTTGATTTGCCTGACGGTAGCGATCTCAATGTCTTTTTTCGTTGTCAGCTGTTTGATCTCCTGCTCTTGCTTGTCCTTGAGCTCCGCAAGCTCCTTCCGCTTCTTCGCCACCAACGTTTGCTGAATCTCAACCTCCGTTTGCAGCTTCACCTTCGCGGTGGTATATTCGGCTTCAAGCTTGGTCCTCTCTTTCTGATTCTGTTGTCTGAGCGTGTCTAGCTTCTGCTCGAGGTTGGTCTCCTTCAAGTCGCTGTCATTTAGGAGCTGCGTCAGCTCATTTTGGTGTTTGATCTTCAGCTCATCAGCGGCTTTCTTGTGATAAGCATTGAGGTTGTTGATTTGCTCTTCGTAGTTTTCCTTGAGCATGTCTCTCTCTTGCTGCTTGTTCGTCAACGAGGTCTTCTTCTCCTTGATATCTTGCTCCAGCCTCTTGATTTCCTCTTTCTGGACCTTCACATCCTTCTCAAGGCTTGCCTTTTTGCCTTCGTACTTGTCGATGATGCTCTGCAACCGCACGTTTTGTGCGCGGTCCTCATTGCCCTTTCTCAGAGCTTCATTCAAGTCGTTCTGCAGGTTCCGAAGCATCTCCTTGTCCTTCTCATTATAGACAGGCTTCTTCAGGACACCATTGAGAAGGCCGATGCATTCACGAACGACACCGTCAAAGGTAGCCAGGTCCTTGTGGCCCTGCGCCTCTTTCAACTTGGCAACCAATCCTTGGACGAAATCGCGTGCAGTCAGCGGAACTTGAGGTTTTTGCTCCTTCACGAGCTGTTCGGCGCGGGTGATGCTCTCGGTGATGTTGGGTTCCGGTTTGCTCTGGACGATTGTTGGTGCAGCGGAATTCCTCTTGGCTAAGTCAAGCTCCTTCTTGAGCCTGCTGATCTCTGCCTCCATGTCTCTCTTCGCCTTCCACCACTCATTCTTCTCATTCTCGATCGCAAGCGTTTGGGTCAGGTATTCTCCGGTCTTTTCTAGTCCTGATAAAGTTGATTTACGTTTGGCAGCACTCAGATCCCTCTCGACCTGCCGCTTTTCTCGCTTGGCTCTCTCAAGATCCATTTGCAGCTCATGAATCTTCGCGTCGACACTTGGCGCTGCTTTGGCATCGGCAAGCTGTTGGGTCAGCGTGGATATATCCTTTTGAAGGTTCTCCACTTTGTCCATAAGGGTTTCCCTCACGGTCCTCAGAGTATCCCTCGACATGCGCAGACGAGTTTCCTCCTCCTGGGACCTTGCCAGGTCGCTCTCCACTTTTACCAACTTAGTCTTCAGGGTGTCGATTTCAGCTTGCAGAGCTTCCTGGTCATGGTGCGAGAGAGTCGGCTCAGAGCGGTGAGAAGCCCTGTCGTTGAGTTCCGCTTCCGTCTTTCTTAACAGTTCCTTCGTCGTAACAAGCTCCTTCTGTAGTGCATCCTTGTCGGCTCGCACACGTGCCAACTCGTCTTCCAGAGACCTCTTTTCCAGCCGCAAGGGTTCGAGCTCCTTGATCTTCTTCGCCAACTTTGCCTGGAGGTCCAGGACCTTTCCGTTCAAGGTCCTGTTCTTCCCTTGCAGCTGTTGTCGTTCATCGACCAAAGAATCCCTCTCCACCTCCAGAAACTTCGCGTCCTTGACCAGCTTGTTCATGTCTTCGAGAGACTTGGTGAGATCCGCAATTTTCTGGTTCAGGGCGACCTTCTCAGCCTCCCAGCGGTCTTGCTGATCTTTCAAGGACTTCTGGTCGAGGGCGAGGGTCGACGCTGAAGGATCCTCAGGCAATTCACCACGCTTCTTCTTGTATCTTTCCACCGTTCTCTCAGCCTTTTTCTGTGCCTTGACAGCATCATTCGATTCTTCTACAGCGCCTTCGTACGCATCCATCATTGCGGTGAAAGCTGCAGAAATCGTTTCGCCCAAGTCGCCGCCGCGTTTGAAGCCGATGCCCAACGCTTGACAGATGTCCGTGACCTCCTTCACCTTTGCCTGTAAGGATGCGTAGAATTTGGTGATGGTATCGGCCTGCTTGATTTTGTCCTGGTTTCGAGTAGCTTCTCGCTCCAAGCTAACTGTAACTTGCTCCGCCTCTTGGAGCGCTGCTTGCATTCTGTGGAGGTTCTCATTGTCGGAGGCCGTTTTCTCCTCCAGATGTACAAGCTTGCTGACTCTTTCTTCCAGTGCTTTGATCTTGGTATCGCTTATGTTTTGGACCAGGGCCACCGCTGCATGTCGTTGTTTATCCGCAGCTTCCTTGAAGCTTCGGAGTTGCCCAAGCTCATATGCTTCCTCTGCCCTCGCTTTCTTCTCGTCCATAAGCTGATTGTACGTGTCTTCCTCTGAGTTCTTTTGATCCTCCAACTTTTGTTCCGTCTGAGTAAGTTGATTCTCCAAGGATTCCTTCTCGTGCTTGTCATCGTCCACCCTGATCATCAGGGATCGGAACTCCATCATTAGCTGCATCTTTGTTTTGCTTGCCTGGTCGAAATATTCCAGCAGGGTGCTGAAAGCCTTGATGATTGTATCGTCTTTTGATGCTTTGATGTACTCCCTCAACAGACCGAGCTTATCAACCCTCTGATCCAACAGTGCTATGGCGTGGTCCTTGTGTATGAATAACTGGGCGATTATGTTCCGCATATCGCGTATCAATCCCTCATCGTACGGCATGTATGTGAGTTTCATGTCGTACACTTTCCCATTATTTTCGTCTCGGTACCGGTCATACTCCTCAAGATAAGCTTGATTCTCCGCCCTATGTCCTTCCTGGCTGGTGAAGGGGTTGAACGTGAAAGGATTGTTCAAATCTCGGTAGCGTCCTAGTTCGTTTCTGCCTTGCACAGGCACAGGCTTGCCATCATCATCGAGGTCCTCAGTGTTTTCGATTTCATCTTTTTCTTCGTCTGACTCGTACGCCTTTTTGATCTCTCTGACGACCCTCGTGGCGCCGGTACCGTCACCGACATACCGTTCGAACATCAACTGGGGCTTCCGGGGTTCCGGGTTGTTGTTGGCTTGCTCGATTTCCCAATCACTCTCGTAGTCATCATCCAGCGGCGTCTCGTCCTCCTTGAAATCTCCATTGCCTCCGGCTTTCACTCTCATACCCGGATCACCCCCAATGTTCTCCTCTTCCACGACATTATCCCAACCAGAGCCCGACTCCCAGTAACTTCTTTGAGGAGGAGGGTTATTCTTAGGTTGGCCCTGGGCTGCGTCGTCGGAGGCTCTCCTGTCCGCCATCGATTTGCGCCAAGCACGCTTCCTCTCTTCCACTAACAACACTTTCTCCTTATCAACTGAAATCGCAGGTGAAATGGCACTTGAGGTCGGAGGTGGAGGGATGTTCCGATAACGACCGGTAGATGAATACCGTTTAGCAGCTGGATGAGGAGCAAGAGCCGGAGCCGGAGCCGGAGCCAGGGCTGGAAATCGGGTCGTAGCCGGGCCTGACACTGGAGATGCTATGGGGCTTTCCGGTTCGCTCATATCGACACGTAGGGAATCTTGTCCCTTTCTCCTCTTGAGCCCCCCCGGCGTTGAAGAACGGGCCGGATCGTTGCCAAACTGGCCCGGGGTGTTGTATCGCCCACCTCCGGCGCCATTCCCACCTGATGGGTAGGACATCTTGTCGCAAACTCACTCCTGACTGTTAGCGGACGTCGTGCAGCAACAAACCTTGTGTAATTTGATGGTGGTGCAATTTTGCTTGATGTTTGATGTTGCAAATGTAGAGATGAGCAATAACATCAGAGACATCAACTGGGAGTTTTCCTCGGCTCAAGAGGTTTACTGGCATAAAGAGAGGACTCGCTGCCACCCACCCCCAGCAGTCGGCTGTGGTGGCGTACGCATGCTCAAAGGAAGCCATTCAAGCTGGTCGGAAGCGGGCGAGTTAAGCATTTCAACCACATTCGAAAAATCCGGCATTGACAAAGACTCGACGGGTCAGTTGCCGCTTTGTCGGCTGCGTAGAATCGAACATGGGCGAAAGCACCGACAAAGAAACGGCACGCACCTCGTCGAGTTAGGCAGCCATTTGGGGCTCCATTATATTGGTTGTCAAAGCCTTGATGAATCCATTCAAGCCTCGAGGCCCTCACATAATGCTAGATCCTCGAAGCTTGCCGTGACTGTCTTGATCCAACGCCTTCGTTTTTCCATAGATTTGAAGCTTCTTCGCCTAAATACCAGACATACTGTGCAAATCGCCGCTGCTTCTGGCTGTGCCTTGTACTGATAAGGTTGCCACAAACGGCTGACATGGTATGGCACACTTCCTCGCCGTGCTCGCTTACTTACAGTCCTCCTTAACATCTCGACTAATCACTATTATTGGGTACAGGTAGACAAAGACACGGCTTAGGGACAATGGCGTGGGCGGGCAACATACCGCAGGAGGGCTTGGCACACCCTTTCCTACCTCCACAGGCCCGACGTAGCTGATAACCTCTTTTAGCTATACCATCCTTGTGCCCCTGGACCTTGCTGGCTTTCCTCCTCTCGGTGCTCGATCATGGGTTCTTTGATGTTGTAAGCATTGATGATGTCTCGCCAGATGGGCATATCGATCGACATGATGGCCTGATGTCGTGTGGTGCCGTGTCTTCCTTGGGCCTTTTCTTGCACGTCTGCATTGAACTGGGTGGCTATTGTCAAGGTGTGTTAGTGAAGGTTGGGATGAAACAGTCCAAGATGAACGTACACAGAGATGGACGACCATATGAGTCGAATTCCAGCTTGATGCCTCCTTCTCGTAGCAGGAAGCTCACGTAGAACATGTTTTCGACCGTCTGGCCAAAGGAGCGGGGGTTGATTACAAAGCGTAGAAGATCAATGCCTCCTGTTTCATGCAGCGCGTACTTTTCCATAATGAGGAACTCTTGCTCGGGATCGTCAACCTCATGGCTATTGAGGAGAGACTCCACGGCATCTTGCGCCTCAATCTGCTTCTTTTCGAGTTGTCCCAGAATGTTCCTGCAAATAGACGGAAGATCGTTCTTGTCGGATTTTTTCAGATCCTCGGCCCTCAACTCCTGCGGTCTCACCTCAACAAGGCTGTTGATCTTGAAGGTAGCGCTGCGTTGTGTCATTCTTCGGGTTTTCTTCTCGATGGACAGAGGGCCTGAGAGGAAGCCAGGCAGAGCTGGTCTGCGTACGCTAGGAACGGCAGCATATCGGCCCAGGTGTGTCCAGTTTAGCATGTCGCCTTCGTCGCCTGTGTCATCTTCGTCGTCGGAGTCGGCAGCGGCACGTGCAGGCCGTCTCCTGTGGCGTTGTGTGCTGGTAAGTTCCGGGGCGTTATCGTCCTCAAAGCCGCGGCCATGACGCATGTAGGTGATGCACTTCGAAACGAATTCATCGACATCAAGGCCGCCGATGTTGCCTGCTGTTTCCCGCTGGGCCCTCCGCGCAACCAAGTCGGCGGCCATGACTAGACCGCGAGCTTCAATGGCGGCCTCGTTGGTCTGCTTGACATGGCGCATAAGATTGTCTGACTGCTCGAAGTAACTGATTGCTTTTTCGCCTTTGAACTGATCGGGGTTCTCTCTCATTTCCCTCTGCATATCTCGCAGCTTCCTCTGGATCTCCCGCCGTTCCTGCATTGACTGGGCAGGATCATACTCGTCGAGATCGCCATTTGCGTCGGGGTTGGGCGGCGATGGGTCCCTAACACGCCGCCTTGTTGCCGAGGGGCCTTCATGGCTATCTGACGTCCGTTTGCCCTTGTTTCTCACCTCCAGATTTCTGGCTCTTGGAGGAGAGGCATCGTAGATATCCTCGTCGGACATGGTGTGGTTTGCGTGATAGGTACAGAACGTAGAGATAAGCCGTGGAGGCACCGATTAGCTTGACAGATCCCGGGAGCTATCCGATATCCAGCTGAGGACCAATTGGTCTCGGTCGTTTGAGGAATGCTTGTCGTCGGGTGAGAGGGTAATGTAATGCGTGCTAGCGATCCCAGTCAGTCGCTATGTATTGGATTGGACGAGATGTGCTGGCTGTATCTCGACTATTGTTGTAAATAGACGGTACACGAATGCGACTTTTCCCAGCAAAAAACGGAAACGCAAGCGGTGGATGAAGAAGACCGAATCGAATACTGGAGAGTGGAAGTGGGAGTGAAGGTTGGAGAGACGGGAGAAAAAGAGACGCGTCTGCAAAAGAGAAGACGCGATTACAGTGGGAGGAGAGCAGAAGTGGACCCCGCTGTTTCCTGAAGAATAAGGTGGATCACCTCCATCTTCTCCAACTCGCGGGGTGGGGAGCTGCTGCCCCTGGGGAACCTTGTTGGCCGCTGTAACTGCGGTTGCATAGTGGGGTGGTTACACTGACGGGAAGCACATGCCAGCCCTATAGGCGGCGGGGTCACAGTGGGCGGAAGTTGCCTCCAACTCTTGGACGTAATCCATTCGAACAACGGCGGAACATCTCATTTATCAATTCCTGTTTCATCATCTCCCAGGCCGTCAAGGGACTTGAGCCTGGCTTCCATTCCTACACCACCTCAGACATACCATAATTGCTTCATTTTCAGTTTCGGGGACGGTCCCTCCCCAAAATACCTGACACCATGCCCATCATGGAGCCCTTTTCGTTTGCGAGCTCCGACCAGCTTGACTATCCCGTCTCGATTCGCATCATGAGTCTGGAGGGGGAGGAGACGCCTATCCCATTCAGCACTCTACTCGAAAGGTCTGATTTGCGACATGTTGGCTCTAACAAAAGGTACACCCAACTGAACTGTTCCTTGTTACGCGAAATGATGGCTGCTGAATGAAAACTCGCATAGTCCACATTCGGACCTCTATGTCACCGTCCAGGTCTGGGCCGGATCCAAGCCACTGACTGTCCCGGTCCAAACACCTTACAAGTGGTTTCGGAATGAACGCAAATGGACCGAGTGGCTTACTCTGCCTATCGACTATTCCACTCTCCCCGAGAATGCCCGTCTGGCCATCACCCTCTGGGACCTCTCCCCAACCGGAGGTGAAGGTGCTCACGGCCATGCCGTTCCCTTTGGCGGCACCACCCTGCCCTTGTTCGACAAGGACAACCAGCTATACAAGGGCCGCCAACAGTGTTTTGTGTACCGAAATAAACAAGCAGACGGCAACGATGACACGGAAACTCCTGCCTTCATAGCCAGGAGATCCGGTATAGGCGCCAGCAAGAAGGGGACTCCCTCTTCTGTAGTGGATAACGATGCCGAAGAGTACGACCGCTTGATGGACCTTCTCAAGAAACATGAGATGGGAGAGATTCCGCGTGTCGACTGGCTGGACCAACTGGCCTTCAGAGGTATCGAAAAGCGCGGATATGGTTCGGCCAAATCGTCCCTCAGGCTCAAGGCTATCCAGCGACAACAGGAAGCTCTCGCCAGTACCAATACCGATACGTCCAAGTCGATCCCAGTGCCGTCCGACTTTCTCTTGACTGTTGAGCTGCCCAGATTTGATTTCCCCGTTGTCTTTGCAGATCATGAATATCCACCTCCACCCATCTCATCGCTCCAGCATCTGTCGTCCTCACAGTCTGGTCTCATCATGAAGCCCACACCAGACATTCAGCTTGGACCGGGCATAAGCCGCATAGACGTCGACGATGAAACCTCCACGGGCCGCTTGATCCGAGTTTACGATCCGGAAGTTGGCGCCAGAGACAACCCGGCCGAAAGTAAGCACCGAAGACTTGTCCGCAGCCAGCACAGGAACGGCATTCTGGATAAGGACTTGAAACCAAACGCCAAAGTAAGAGATGAACTCAACCAGATCATGTCCTATTCGCCGACCCACAGTCTGTCGCCCGAGGAGAAGGACCTTATCTGGAAGTTCCGATACCACTTGACCAGAAACAAAAAGGCGCTCACCAAGTTTGTCAAGTCAGTCAACTGGCTTGACTTGTCAGAGGCAAGGTCGGCTGTAGTTGTCCTCGAGAAGTGGATCGATATTGATGTGGACGACGCACTGGAATTACTCGGCCCAACTTTTAGCAACTCAGCAGTGAGGGCCTTTGCAGTAAAGCGCTTACGCAAAGCAGACGACAACGAGCTACTTCTGTATTTGTTACAGCTGGTTCAGGCACTAAAGTACGAGCACATATCGCCACAGTCCCGTCAAGACGTATCCCAAGATAGTTCCCTGGCCAGGTTCTTGATAACGAGGGCCGTGTCAAGTCTGACGCTCGGCAACTATTTCTATTGGTATGTCATGGTAGAAATCGATGACAGGAGCTCGGAGCAAGGACAAGACACAAGGGAAATCTACACCAAGGTTGCCTACGACTTCATGTCCGAGCTCGATAAGCAGCCTGGTGGCCAGGAGAAGAGAAAGACATACAAACGACAAGCCGAGTGGATCCGCATCCTTTCACAAGTATCAGGAGAAGTCAAGGAGGCGAACGAGTCCATTGCCAGGAGAACCGACCGCGTCAAGCACTTTTTGGCCGATTCCAAGAACGAGCTGGTAACCATTGACCCGCCGCTCCCGCTCCCACTGGACCCATCAGTCATGATCACCGGCGTGATCCCGGAAGATACCATCGTCTTCAAATCCTCCCTCCACCCCATCAAAGTGGCCTTCAAAACCACCACGGGGACCAAATATCCCCTGATCTTCAAAACCGGCGACGATCTCCGGCAAGATCAGCTGGTCATCCAAATCATCATGCTCATGGACAACCTCCTCCAGAAGGAAAATCTGGACCTCAAGCTCTCGCCCTACAAGATTCTCGCCACCAGCACCAGCGCCGGCCTCTCGCAGTTCGTGCCCTCCATGTCATTCCAGGGCATTCTCAACAAATACGGCAACAACGCGGCGCTCGCCTACCTCAAGCAGAACAACCCCGACAGCAACGGGCCCATGGGCTTGCGCAAGGAGACGCTCGACACCTTTGTCAAGTCGTGCGCGGGCTACTGCGTCATCACATATATCCTGGGCGTCGGCGACAGACATTTGGACAACCTGCTTTTGTCGCCCGACGGGTACTTCTTCCATGCCGATTTCGGGTATATCCTCGGCCGCGACCCGAAGCCGTTTGCGCCCGTGATGAAGCTTTCAAAAGAAATGGTGGACTGCATGGGCGGGGTCAACTCGGAGCACTATCGCCAGTTTAAGCAGTACTGCTTCTTGGCTTACAGTGCTCTTAGAAAGAACAGCAACTTGATCCTGAATTTGTTTAGTCTGATGGTGGATGCGAATATCCCGGATATCAAGCTGGAGCCGGATAAGGCGGTGTTCAAGGTTAGGGATCGGTTCCACTTGGAGCTGAGCGAGGAGGAGGCGATCAGGAACTTGGAGAAGATCATGGAGGATAGCTTGAATGCGCTGGTGCCGGTCATGATTGATCGGTTGCATGGGGTGATGCAGGCTTTCCGGACGTAGTGGACGTATAAAGGTGTGTTTTGTTTTTGCATAGTCATAGACTTGGTAAGCATAAAGGAGTAACATGAAGCGTTCGTATGTTCAATCAACTCTAAACTCATCACTATATACTGTGATCATACACACATCAACCACCCATCACTTCCTTATGTCTCACCAAAGACAAAGACACCCTTACCACTCCTGAAGCCCTCAAGGGTGCCCTGCACAGCATCCTTCAACACCTTCTCCTCGGTATCCCAGTTCCACGTAACCTCCTGCGCCGGCGCCGCCTTGAACTTGCCCTCGCGCATCATCTCCAAAATCTCGTTAATCATCCTCTTCTTCTCCTCCGGGTTCTCCTTGCCCCACTCGCTCAACCAGAACCCTTCAAACCTCAACCGCTTGAAGATCTGCGGCCCGGTCGGGAAGGGAAAGCTCTGCCTGCTCATGCCACCATACGTGACCATCACACCCTTGGGGCTCAAACTCCTGACAATCTGCGCCGCGTTCTTGCCTCCGACGCAATTCAGTCCCAACATTAAGGGGTCCTTGCCACCATTCGTCCACTCGTCCTTCAGCCTCTGCGTGAAGCTCCTGTCCAAGAACTCCGTCTCGGTGACCACCACCGTAGCGCCCAGCTCTTGCAGCTCCTTCTTCAACTCCTCCGTCTTCTCAGGCGTCTCCCTCTCCCTAACAACATTAATACTCCTCAGTCCCCAGAGCTTACCAAGCTGAATCGCCGCCCGGCCCACACCACTGTTCGCTCCGTTCTGCAAAAACCACGCCCCGCCCGACGCGGTACCCTTGGCAAACCCATCCACGCTCAACTTGATCAAGTCCACATAATCCCTCAACATCCTGTACCCGGAGCAGGGATTGACACTAACAGTAGCGACCTGCAACGGCGTCAGCCCCTCCTTCCCCTTCTCCCCGCCCACTTTAAACAACTTCTTCTCAGCATCTTCCACCAGCGCATGCGTCCTCAGCGTGCCAAACCCGGTAGTAGCAGGGATAACCCAATCGCCCTTCTTCAGTCCCTGCACGTTGCCGCCAACACTGAGAACCTCGAAACAGCCTTCGTTGCCAGGAATCACGCTCGGCTCGGCCGTGCCCAGGAGGGGCGAAAACTTGGGCTTGACGCCGTAGGTGCCCTGGATGGTGTTCACGTCTGCGGGGTTCACGGGCACCGCCACGGCGCGGACGAGGACGGAGCCGTCGGGCAAAGAGGGCGAGATGGAGTGTTGGTGTACCGACAAAACGTCGGCGGGCTCGCCGAAGCGCGAAAAGACTAGCGCTTTGGCCTGGGTGTACCCGTAGGGACCGGATTTGTGCCGGCGGAAGACGAGGCTTGAGGCGGTCGGGGCGGAGGTGCGGAGGAGGAGGGTCGAGGGAAGGCTCCGGGCGCTGAAGCCGGAGAGTCCTCGGCCGGCGGCGGCGGCGGAGGCCCTGGCGACAGGGGTGAGGGTGGTCTTCATTTCGCTTTTTATTGTCTTGCTTTTTCGGGTTTTTGTTGTTGTTCGTTGGAGCTAGGTTCGAGTTGGTAGTCTGCGTGGTCTCGCGTCTGTTTCGAAATTTGCCGAGATTAGTTGTTTGGCTTTGGCTTTGGGCTTTGTTTTGTGGCGGTTTGGGATTTCGGGGAATTGGGATTGGAATTGGGAATTGGGAATAGCAATCGCTTAACCTACCTACCTTCAAAGTTGACACGACACGCTGAGTTTCAATCAAGAGTCTTTGGGTTGTTGTCAGAGGCTAGATTGAAGAGCCGAAAGCGAAAGAGTCGAGGCAACGTAGAAATTGAGAAAAAGGTGCGGGGACGGTGGTGTCCACGGAACTGAAGTGAGGAGATGATCGACGGCCGCAATGATGGAGAAAATGGAGACTGCCTGTTCACAGCGAGCAAGCAGCAGCTTCAACTGGAGACACTGAGTAAGCTTCGAGATGAAATGAATAATTGCGTCACAGATATCTCTCTATCTCGCTGAAATCCAGCTCAGCTTATGTTCATACCAATGATTGGTCACCAGCTTCACAATCTCTCAGTTCACACTGCATCAACCTTCATGCCAATTCCATCCGGTCCATCTGAGTATGCTTCCATCCTGTCGCTTCGGCAGTCGCAATCAACCCGTATCAACTCCCGAGCTCGCCCGTATCGCGGAGCTCCCGCGGCCGTCAACTGGTGAGCTCTTATCGATTACAAAGTTCCACTCGGTCTGATGGAGCCGACGGGACCTCTTGTGGAATTGGATTGGCGATGACGTCTAGTCTTGGCATTACCTTTCGGTAGTGTAAAGGAGCTTTGACCACTGCACCACCCATCTCAATCATTCCCCACATGCTTTGACCAGGCGAATCTGAATCTTGAAAGTTCGCAAGGGTATCCCTAACCCTATGTACAACTGCCCCCAATCTGCGATTGCGATAGAGGGATCGAGCCCCGAAGTACTACGAACGCCTCTTTAGCTGCAAGGAGACGGGTGTGATTCGGGCGGTAACTTACATTGTTATTGGATGGGACACCTTCCCGAATGGGATACGGATTGTAGATTTGAGTAGGTACAATGGCGTTGAAAGAGTCTGAGAGACCCCCCGGAGTGAACTGGTGGTGGGTTTACTTCAGCTTCTTAGACTGATCGTGTACCCGGAACCTGAAACTGAACCTGAGTACTGCTTGAGTAACTGGCTCAAGCTGAGAATGACTTGGCATTGGGGAGGCTGAGATCGACCTAGTATACCCATCTCAAAGAGCAAGTGATCCGAATAGGCCGAGTTCAAGGCCTGGAACGACTTATCTCCTTCACAGTGGAATATGTAATGTCGTGCTGGGGTCAGAGCGTAGCGATACTATGGTAATACCTACTACCTCGCACAGCTGTGCTCCGAGTCGGCCGAAAGAGACTATGACCTCGCGTTGTTCTTGATTTCATTGAGTGATGGGGAAAAAACCGTAGTTTAGCACATTCCGGCAAGGCACATTCGGCAAAGGTAACGGTGATATGCAAAGAATTAACGGTTCGATCACACTCTGTAATACCATTTGAGTATCTACCACTTGCTATATGCGACTTCTCCTATTGTCCTCTCCCTGTGGCCACCAGGAAGACTTCTACACTACCATCATGTTTTGTGAACGGAAACAACAACTTCCCCCGTATCTATCGACAATCTTCAATGCACCCCAGAGACGTCTCGAAATGCTCTTCAAAGCACGGTAAAACAACTGCATGCAGATGCGAAAGAAAGACATCTCTACTGACTCTTGGGAGCTATGACTTGCATAAATCGGGACAGCCTCCCCCCTGCCCTCTACTCAAGAAACAGATTTTGATTTGAAAACAAAGAGAAAGAAAATGTTTCGTCATGCATGTGTGAAGATTGGAAACCCCGAACAATGACCCGGTTGAAAAAAAAAAGGAAAAAAAAAGAGAAGACAAAGGGTTTGGGTATCTCTGGATCCTCTGCCACATCCTCCCGTCTCAATCCGCCTTTGGCCATCACTCTCCCTCATGTTGATACCACCACGTCTATCTGGCCTCCCGCCCGTTTTTTCCTCCGTAGAAAGTCTAGTCAGGTATTTGCTTCCGCCCACGAACGTATCTTCCCCGTTCATTGCATTGTTGCGCTTCAACCCCTTCGTAGTTGTGAGCCGCTCATTTTATGTCTTTGAACAAATCGTCCCCAAGAAGACCGCTGCCGTCTTTATGATCCATGGACTTCAGCTCGCTAAGCTCAGGAATCTTTGGAGGCGGCGGGCCCTTGGGCTTATTTTCCGTAAGCGGTCGTACCGGCACCGGTTCAGGGGTAGATGGCGATGTGAGGGGGGCCATCATACTGGCACGCCTATTCCTGGTAGTCGAGCTCTTGTCGCCTCCTCCTAGCAACTTGCCAAACCACCCACTGACCCGCCTCGACTTCTTGACTTCAAAATTGTTGTTGCTGCTCGGCGGTCGGTTGCTAGACGGCGGTCGAGGACTTGTTGTCGTCTGCTGCTGCTGCTGTTGCAACTGATGGGCCGACGACACTGCTCCTCCATTTTCGGAAATTGTCTCCTCGCCATTGACGTAGGGGCTTCTCAGCTTGTGTCGACTGAGCATACGGCGGATGCTTCCATTGCGACTCGATGACGTCGTGGGTGATGTGAGGTGGTCTCCTTCACCTGACAGCTTGGTGGTCCCGGACGTGGACGAAGTAGGCGAAGTCGGTAAGGATATGTGTGGTCTACTGGGTTTTCCATTGGGCGGGGCCAGCGACCCATTTCCACATCCATTTGTACTTTTTGCCTTGAGATCCTCCCCGTTTGGTGTTCTGGGCGCCTCGTCCCTTATCTTTGGCGACGGCTCGGGAGGTGGGATATCGGTGCCATCGGTCAAAGATGCAAAGCTGAAGTCAAGGGCGGGTAGCTGGAAGCCTTTAGAGGAGGCAGCTTGGTTTGTTCCGCTCGGATCTGGTTTGGACGACATGGTGCGGATGGTCAGACGGTTTGATGACGGTGTCGGACAGATGCTTGATGTATCGGCGTGGTAACGGACAATGCGATGCAAAGCAGAATTCAAGAGAGGAAAGGGTGTTTGGAGAGAAACACAACAAGTGATGCAGCAATGTCGACAGAGAGGACGGGGGAGAGGAGCGTAAGTAAGAGTAGCTAGCTGCCCCCGAAGGAATGGGAAATGACGTCCAATTGGAGTACTATCTGGCTCTAAAGAGGAGAGGAGATGGGGAAAGAGAGAGAGAGCGACGCGGTCCAAGCTTCTCAATGTCCCTTCTTCTTCCACTTTACAAGACAAGAGTTCGTATGGGGTGGGCAGGCTTGACTGGACGCAGGTTTGTCGACCCGGCGATAGCGTAGAGCAAATGTTTGTCGTCGTAATGAGCGAGTGGATGGTAAGGAGGAATCAAGACAAACAAATGGAGGGAGAAGTTTCAACACAAAGATGAGAGAGAGAGGAAGAGATGGAGATGTCCGGATTGCAACACACCTGGAGCCAGAGAAACGGGTCCAAACGAGACCCCCTGTAGCGTGCTGCACAGCTGCAAAGTCGGTAGTGCCAGGTCCTGGGTGGTCCAGTGGGTTCAGTTAGCCTGGTGATCCTGGGGCACATGGGCTCATGGGCAACGGTTCCGGGCCTTGGTTGGCCCAATGGGTTGCTGGGAGGGTGACACTGGGAAAGGCAAAAGGAAAGTGGAAGCGTGGGAAACACAAGATCTGCGTTACCTGCGTCAAAGTGGACAAAAGAGTCTCTTTGCATGCCTCGGGCTGTCTTTGGTGTCTCTTTGCTTCAAGAGAGTTGTCTCAAAGCCTTGTTTTCAGCGACTGAGGTCAGGACAACCTCAGATTGCCCAGATGACCCAGATGACCCAGATAACCTTTTACAAGATAACCTCAAGGGAACTTGGGATCTCCCGCTGGGCAGATTGGGAAAAGAGGGCCCAAGGCTCCAATGGCAATTTCCGTCAACCTGACTTTGAAAGTTATTGGCAAGAAAGAGAGTTGGAGAAGCACGCCAAAGTGACCTACCACAGTGGAGAACAAGTGACCTGAGAGTGGAGACGACCCTGACGCCGCCGGCGTGGGACCTGAACGGGGAAAGTGGGGGAGCACCTCAATGACCTGAGTGGAGCCCAGCCAATTCACCAATTGGATAAAAGAACTCTTGACTTTCAAAGTCCAAACACCGAAACACCAAAGCGTTGGATCACGACGCACGTCATCTCATATATCCTATATTTATTACCCCAAGTCACATTCCACACATTTCATCGACTCATGCTTTCATCTCACAGGCTTAACATTACAGAGTTCCTCTTCCTCCTCTTACCCGCCGCTGGCACAGGCTGACCAGTTGCACCCTGAATTTCCTTCCTCAGCCGTCGAATACGCTCAATGCTTGCCTGGAGGTCGGAATCTGTGGGCCAATTTGGACGCGCCTGAGACTTTGCTCCCGTTGCCTTTTTCCCCTTCCTCACAGGCGTCGCCTTGGCAGCCACCTCCTCTTCTTCGCCAGACGAGGATCCAATATCTATCCAAGTCTCACCATACCCAAGGTCATGCTCGAACCTAAACGACTTGGGCGGCTCCTCGATCACCGCATCATACTCATCCCTGCGGTCCTTGAGAAATCGAGATGACATATCGCGGTCTCTCAGGCCGATACCTCCCGTGGCCCAAAAGCGGTTTGCTGGCGTTCCAAGAGCTCCGTAAAACGGATTGCGGCCCTCGCCGTCGTGCACTCCTCCGGCCTTCATGCGGCCCGGTAGCCGGCCTGCTCCCAAGATGTCACGCCGTTTCTGGCCAAGCCACATTCGATATGTGCCTGGTGCGCTCGACATGTAGCACACATTGAAGGGGAGCATGCCGCTTAGTCGACTTTCGCCCTCCAAGACGATTACTGGCATCGTATGGAACGCCCAGTCTTCCTCGCCGAACCTGAACCCAACATCCAGCTCATATATGGCCCTCCTTACCGTACCCTCACCGAGGTGAAGTTCCGATGCTGTTTGTGCTGCGTATGTCTTCGGGTCAATGCCAAGGAGGGCAAGGTCTTGGGGTTTGATACAGGGTAGCGTGGCGCCCGAGTCGAGGAGCAAAGACAACTCGACCACTTGGGCATCTTCGTCAGGTTGGGCGTTGCTGAACTTTCGCAACTTAGCCTTCGCCTTCTTCGCGCGCTTGTTACCTCCACGCATGACCCTCTCCTTGCGCGCGCGGAAATACATCTTGATGTTATAATGGCCTTGACCATATGTGTCCAGTCGTCCCAGGAGCGGGTTCTCAAGACTGGTGCCTTTTTTGGCACGCAATTTCCCTTGTGTTGCAAGAGGTGGCTCGTGCCAAAGCCATCCCTGTCCATGCTCGTCGACATACCTATCCAGCCGATCATCACGGTCCGTCGTGAACGAGCCGTAGTCGGGACAAGTGTCGACGATGCGGCCAGCCCAGATGAGGGTATACGACCTTGAATACGCAATTGCCCCGGATTCATAACCCGCAATGGCAGCTTGTATATTCACCCGCTGCGCTTCGGATTCACTTTTTGCCAGCACCTCGCGCAGAAGCTCCAGACGCTTGTTGATGGCTTCTATATGGGTTGAAGCAAGGGTGGAGCTAGGAAATCAGTTCTGTCAGTGCTGGTCCCTTGAAACCATACCTTCACGGCGAATCACTGCCATCACTCACATCGGCTTGGTGTTTTCCTCGTCCTTCTCATCGAGTTTCTCCCGCTTCCTGATCTCCTCATCCAGCTGTTGTTGGAAAATGGGGTTTGGAGCGTTTCCATAATGCTCAACCCTCAAGCGAGCACGCGCAACCCGTCTATCCGCAAGCTCAATGCGACTCAAGCCCTCACCTTCAACCCAAAGCTCACTTCCGTAAGCGATATCCGGCCTCCATTCACCATACGGAGAAGCCGATGCTGCCGGAACGGTTGGATGGGCCGAAGCAGCATTATTTTGAAAGCTCGTATCCCCTTGGTTTTGCAACCTGCTCATGCTCCGGGTCTGGATCCCCGGTGTTGAAGGAGGAGTTGGCTGAAGTCCGTGTATGCGTCTTCCAGGCCGAAGAAAGTTAGCCTGGAAGTATGATTAAAGGAGTCGAGACACTGTTTCCCATACCTATGACGAAGCTCCCTCACAGTCCCGTTTGGCCGAAGCCGGTAAACCGGTTGTCCTTCAAGCAGGCGTTGTTCATCTTCTCTGAAGGCTTGTCGCCGTTTCTCTTCTGCGGATTCCATTTTGTCTAATGTCGGTCAACTTCAAGATAAAGTGGTAGTCAACCACCGCGACAATAACAACAAGCTCGCAAGAATAATGATTTACTGTTGGGGAACTTACCATTACTCAAGCTTGAGCTTGGGCAACAACGTTATTGACCCCTTTCTTTTCTTCCTTTGAAGACCGATCATCTGTCCATTGAGGTTCTACACGATACCTCTCATTTCCGCTGTTGTACCCAATTGCTGCTCATAGGATTGTCCTTTGTCTCGCGATGAGAACAAAGGCGCACAAACCCCTCGGGGAGGACCAGCTTTGCTCGATTCATGCTGAACAACAGAAGCAGTCGGCTTTGTTCTTTATTGCCACTCCCCGATCCGGACGCTTTGTATGCAAACGGCAAGTGAGCCTAATTGCTGCCAACTGGTCCCTTGAAGCACAAGTGCTTCCCTCGAACACATTCCCGTCCCGCCTAATAGACTCAAAACATCACTCCCACCCGGACAATCACCTTTCTTCCTCTTGCACGCAACTTTTGTCAGCTTTCATCACAACTTCAACCGCTATTTTCTTACCTTCCTTCTCTGTTCACCGCATACTAATTCACATTTGTCAACACCTTGCGCGAGTCGCAAGGCAAGGATACCACTGTACTTCGCGTGACGTTTAAGCAGATGTGGATTGTTAGAGCTGGATAAGAGATAGAGAAACACGATTTACGCTCGCCAAGATGTCAGGACCCAGCGCGGGTGGGGGTCGCCCCAAACTCAGAGGTGCCGGGAAAGTGAAAAAGGACATGGATGGTATGATTCCGTATACAACTTCACACAAGATTGATCCAGGCTGACGAATCACTCTCATCACTAGAAAAGTTTCTTCGCTTCTTGCGCGAGTATGCAACCTACTATGCTGAATGTCCGCCTGCCTTCAAAAAGTACCTGGAGCGCCATGTCTTCCCCGCCTGCAAGGAGGCCGACAAGATCGACCAGTTGCAACTTTATCTTTGCAATCCCCAAATCCTGGACTTCGGTCTCGGAGTCGAGTTTATGGAGGAGGCCTCTCAATACACAATTTGGGATTACTGGTTCCAGGGTTCCGAAGAGTCGGTTGTCCTCCCTTTTCATCCCATCCCTGACAATTATTACCCATGGCCCAAGGAGACTGAGAAGACAGTGAAGGCTGCGTACATCATCGACGATCCGGGGCAAGTCCCATCGGGAGGAGTCAACAAGCTTAAACTGGACGACCAAAAGGAAGGAACAACGATGAGTATTGTACCGCCCGGACCGTTTCGCTCACTGCCCGGTGTTCTAGGTCCCGATGACGGACAGGACAATTTGTTTGGAGATATGCTCGACCAGATGAAAGCGATGGAGAAGCTTCAGTTTACCAATACTTTTGGTCCCAGCACTACCGCAACGATAGAAGGAGGACAGCTGGCCGAGCCCGTCGTGGACCGCACTGGCCCAGACTGGACTCTTGACTCCGAGTACGAAGGGTTTCGACAGCCTCCGCTGGCTCTCCGGCTTGAGCACGTCAACAACCTGCTTTGCGAGGAAGATATGTATCGTGATCTCAACTGGGCCGAGAAGTTTGGTGAGACGGTCCGATACCTTAGGTGGCTTGCTGAGGAGGACCCCCAGAGTCAGCTCGCGAATGCCAGCCCAGCAACCCAGCAGATGTGGACCGATGCTATGCAAAAGGTCAGGGTGCATGAGGTCTTTGACCATTACAATTCTCAACCGACACCGTTGATCATCGACCCTCCGCCCAAGGGGAGTCTCAAGTCAACGCGCCTCAACTGGCTCGGTGATGTCCACAATTGGCCTATCCCCACGACAAATCCGGTTCCTGACAAAAGGGACTTGATGCCTATACCGATACACCCGCGATCTGTCGAGCCTGTGAACACTGTGCTCATCGACGAGCCAGAGACCTATGAACTGTTTGAGGAATTCAAGTATGACCAGCGAGAGCTGTGGCAGGACGAAGAAGGTGATGACAACCTTGCCGTGGTAGAAAGTGAGGCATTCCTCAAGTTCTCTGGTTCCAAGTACGCCGGCTGGGTTCGACACGATCCAACCACGAACACCAAGGTCCTGGCTGACAATACCATCATCATCCCCAACGACCCGAGGAGCTTCGCCAGAGAGCGAGGAGCCCGTCGTGCCGGTCTGCAACAAATGTTGCGCGCTTACCAAACTAGCGTGCCGGATTACACGACCAGCCCCCTACGCACGCTTCAGCTTCCTATCGACGCTGCGGCTCTGCACAAGATCACCCAGCACACCGATGGCGTGCAATTTGTACCAATCCGCATCCCAGATGAGAAGATCCAAGCGCAGGCCGATACCATGCCTTTCACCGTCCAGTTTCCCAAGTATCTCGAGTCCCTCAAGCACATCCGCGAGAGGGCCTTGAAGCGCGTTGAAGCTCTCCGCCGACAAGATCGTCGCTGGGTGACACTCCCCCAGAACGTCGTCACAGGCGGTCCCTTCGTCTGGCGCATGGTCGACCCCGACGTTCAGCTAAAGCAGGACATCCTCGGCCAGTGCAACATCACCTACCAACTCCTCTCCGCCGCTTCACAGCGCGCACCCCGTCTCCTGCTGGGCGAAGTCACAGCCATGATCGCGCGCGGCATCTCCGGCGAGTTCCACAACCACGACGTTCCCCCTGAAGTGCGTCTGCACGGCGACGAGCTCGAGATCATCAGCACCACGCACCCGCGCAAGGCCCCGCGCTACGTTGACCTGGAAGAAGACATTCCCTGGCTCAAGTTCCTTGCCTCGGAGGCCGTCAATGACGGCAACTTCGAGCCCAACAGCTTTTACCCCAACGAGCCTGCCGAGAAATACATGCTCTTCCATATTTTTGCCCGACGCGTGCAAAAGTTACTGGATGACCAGGACCCGGACAGTCTCTTCGTCGACGCCGACGCCCAAGTCACTGTCGAGCAGCTCCTTTCCAAAATCAACGCGGGCCGCGAAGGCGCGCCCGTCGATAAAGTCGTCTTCCACCCCTACGACGCCATGGCCTGGCTCGACCGACTGGCCGACACGGGGCACGTCCGGTTCCAGCTCGACCCATCTTGCTACGGCGTCGTGATGCGTCCTTTGAACAAATACTTCCCCGAGAACCGAGTCATCTGGCCCGGTCCGACCGCGCACCGCGAGAAACCGGGGTTTAAGCTGGGCTATATCGCCACCTGGCAGCAGATCTTGTGTCCCGGTGTCGACCGCTCGCAGGAACTGCTCGACCCGCAGTCGCCCGTCTGGAACTTCTTCATGGCCTTGGCGTTCAGATTGGGATACACCATTTACATGCTCAACCAGGAACGGGCCGAGCAAGGCAGCCTCAAACCGCAGCCTGTGCCCGCCGAGTACCTGACGGAGAGTCTGACGACTTTCGAAGCGGAAGTGAAGACGGAGATTCAGCACGCGTTTGGCAAGGACACGGGCCTGATTTCGTTGCCGCAGCTTGTTCAGCGGTTGTCCCCCCGCGACTATACAGGAAAGGGAATGACGGAGGCTGAAGCCTTTGCTGTGGTCAGGCGGAAGATGCTAGAGGAGAGCATCTGCAACCTGACCATGCTTGTGCCCGGACGGGAGGTGGTGTATTATGGACGCGACTCGGAAACGGGGGAGGTGATGCAACGCACTGTTCGCAAACGGGACGTGTCGTGGGAGTTTGCTTCACCTCGCCTTTCTTCTTCTTCTTCGTCACAAAAGAAACCGTTCCAGTACTGGCGACTAGATCGCTGGCCTTTGGGCGTGGGATACACATCTGAGGAGACCGAGAAGAAGATTAAGGAAGGGAAGGAAGGATATGTGGATCCCAGGATGGTGTGGGATCCGGTGGCGGATGATCCGATTTCCGAAATGTACATGAGGCCGAAGCTGCGCAGGTTTGGCGAAGATGAAAAGGTCAAGTATAAGCGCGGGCCGGCCGTGTATCCCGTGGGAGACACGGTTAGGCAGGCGTGGAGGGTGGAGGAGAGTATGACGGAGAGTGCTTATAGGGGTATGTTTTTTTTTGTCTCCCTCTCATCCCCTTTTCTTCTTCTCCTTCTCCCCTTTTCTTCCCTTTTACGCGCAATGCTAACAAAACCCAACCAACCAACAGCCCTCGGCCTACCCCCACCCTCCGACTCATCCAGACGCAAAAAACGCACCTGGTCCCAAGCCATCGGCACGCTGCTCAACCCCTTCTCAAGCTCCTCGGATGATGTCGCCGGCATGCCGGAAGACGAAAGGAGAGTCAGGCCAAAGTTGGATGACCTCGCCAAGGGCGTGGTGGTGCCTAGTTGGAACCCGGATCGGGTCAGACAAGTTGCGCAGGAGGATGGATACATTTTGGATGCGGACGATGTGAAGGAGATTTTAAAAGTGGCGGAGAAGAGTAGGAGGGAGGAGATGGAGATGGAGATGGGTGCTTAGATACTTAGGTTAGGTTCCTTGGTTTGTTACTAGGATATTTTGATCTGGGTGTTAGGCAGATGGAGGGGGGCGTTTATAGGCTTATGGTAGGCTTGGCTTGGCTTTTAGTAATGTTTCTCGTCCTCTGGGTTTTTTTTCCTGGGTGGTTTATGTGTACCTACATCGATATATCCTGCAGTTTTTTTTTCCTCCATGCCTCAGATATCCACGAGTTATCTCTGCGTCCAACAATTTTTGAGAGTTAAACGTGTGAATCGTGACACCTGAGCCTCGAGGCGCCCTTTTAACCATGCAAACACTCCTTCGACACTCCCCAAAATCACCACCATAACAGATCGACATGAACAACGTACACTCAAATTATGAATCGAAAATGCTGACAAACAGATGCCACATCCAACTGGGGGATGGAAAAAGAAAGATTAGATCCCCGAAAGCTCCGTGATAGGTACCTCTATCTGCTTCCCAAGTACAATCCACCCCACCCTCAGTTGCTTCGAGTAGGCGGCCAGCCACCCCTTCGCTAACAAACTTAAGATTCTCCTTGTATTCCCTCCCTTTCACTTCCTCTTCCAAACGTCACCAAAAGTACCGATCACCAACCACACGGCATTTATCCTTTGTCCTTTCAATTCCCACTCTTATGTTCCCATTTCCGTTACAACGTCCGGTCCCTTTGTCGGTCGTTCGGCTTCCGAGATCACCTTTGTCTTGCCGTACGGTGCTGCCTTCTTTTGTCTTGCAAGATCCAACAAATCAATGTAATTCATCTTCGTAATTGTATCTTTGTTTCTCTTGGTACATGAGACCCGGACCTTTTTGCTCATATCATGATATGTTCTCATAAGATCTTTTCGCCTCCCTGACTACCAGCCTGCTTGTCTTATGCGACCCCGGATCCGGCAAGTACAAGTGGAATAATGGCGAACGTGCCTAGGTATGTCTACCGACTTGCAGCGCAGCGAAGCCTGCATGCACAGTCGATGGGTAGAGATAGCAGAATGAAGTCAGACATACATATGTAATGCAGGAAACGATAAGAAGCACCTGGACATTGCCACTGCAGGACAACAAGGAACTCATCCATACCGGTACAGTACGACACACCGAGGCTAGTAGGTAGGTAAGTAGTCAATGGATTCAATTAGGCACTCATCCATCATATGAGCCTCCAAAACCTCACAGGTAAGTCCTCAGAAACTCCCGACTCCATCCAGCCCACCCAAGGCAAAGGGACTCATCAACTTTTCCAAAACACCCAGTATGGTAGTAAGTGAAGGAGTCTTTATACCTCTCTCTCTCCAACGGAAAAAAAAAAAAAAAGCGTCTCAAATCTTTCGTGAAACATGACGTGACACAGGGTATATATATAATATATGACAAAAATAAAAAGGATGATGACATTGCATGCATGCTTGCTTTCCTCTGGTGAGAGCCCGGGGGGTAGAGGGGGTGTTCAACGACGTGAAAAATAATGATGACAGCTATCTATTCAGGATATGGTTGGCCCATTAAATGCTATGTCGTCAAGGTCCATACGTCGGCCAGAGTGAAGGGACATCAGGAACAGGTGCATCCTCAGGAATGGGCCGTTTAATGTCACCTGTCGCTGGCGAGCCCATCCTGTTGGCGCCGTTCTTGTCGGGGCTGCTGCGGCCGCCCCTAGCAGCCGCCGCCGCCGCAGCCTTCAACCTCCGGCTCTGTTCAAGGGTAGCCGCCCACAAGGATCGGAGCTGCACGTCCTCTGCTACATCCTCACGGTAGAGCCGCAGGCGGGTCTCTCCGTCCGGGGCGTACCTTGGTCGGTGAAGATTTGTGATCTCCTCCATGATGAACTTGAGGACGCCTTCTGAGCAGCGTTTCCGTGGGAGCAGGGCATCTGGTGACCCTACATACCGCCTGGTAACGTCAACCGCGCCCTCGCGAGAGAAGGCGATAACGTAGGACATCTTCTTCCCCCAGTTCTTGTAGTACATGTGGGGCATATCCCATGCCTCTTCGCAACTGTCGACGTGGACCCATCGTTGTTGATGCTCCGAGTAGATTTCCGTCCACAGGTAGTCTTCCTGGCACCATACCCAGCGAGCTCGGATGTCAAGAGCTCGGCAAAGCATGGTGAAGACGTTGGCGAAGTCACCAGCCCTTCCACGCTTTACTCGTAGTAGTTGCCACGCCTCCGTATATCGCGGAAATCGTTCAAATGCCCCGCAGGTTACGCATTGGTATAACTCGACCCATGTCGCACTATGAGCTCTCTCTTCTGGTGTAGGCGCAACATTGCGAATTTTATTCGTAGGTGACAGACATTCGGAACATGGAGGATTATTCACAAAGGTGAAGAATGATCGGCGAAACCACCTGTGTAGTCGCGAGTTAGCTGGTGCACCAAACAGACAAACATCCATCATGATATTAAAGCCAGACAGAAGACGGCAACGCACCTAAGCAGAGCCCTGACCATACACTCCTGATGACTCCATTCCGGTCTTGTTTTCCCCAGGCTTGCGGCTTTCGCTTGGAAAAGTTCCACCTCCTCTTCTGCTTCTTGTGATAGCCTGTCGAGTGGGATCTGCTGCAAGGCTTCGTCGAGTAGGCCGGGATTCTCGTAGTTTAATGGTATATGAGACATTGCTATTAGGTATTTTTCGAAGTTCTGGGCCTCCTTGTCGTCTTTGGCGGGCGGCTCGGGGGCTACTGGTTGTGATAGAAGATCGGGTATGACTTGTAGGTCAAATTTCTGATCCCGGTTTGACATCTGCGCAAACCTGAGCTGTAGATCGCGCGCCACGCTCTTCACATGGTCGTCTAATGGGTAACTCCCCCCTCCAGGATTGTTTCCTGCCATGGTCGTTGATTATACCCAGTCGCTACTTCGGCCAGCCTTGTCGTCTGTGTGATTCGTTGTGTTCGTGTAGTGTCGCCGGTCGTCTGTCTCGCTGCTCTTCGTGAATCGTCGCGATAAATGGCAATCGAGATCGATTCGATACTCTAGGAAGTAAGCGTTTGTCGCAATAGTCAGCATTCGCTTCGTCGTATCTTGGCGTCCAGGCTGACTATGGGCGAATTGACATACAGTCGTCGGTGGACCAGCGGGGATAGTTGCTCTACGGTTAATCCCCTGGTGAAACCCGCTGATGCGATGTCGGCGATCAAACGAGTAGAGGTGATGCTGTTTGAAGGTCCCAATGAAGGGCTTCGCACGTTGAGGACTTGAAGTGGTATCGCGCTTCGTCGGTATGCGTTTGAAGATTCGAGGGTTGGCGTTGTAAGCGGGCGACGGCGAGAACGTTATCTAGGAGAAGGGGGGGTCGTATTAGCGCCATCTTGACCAGCGAGGGCGAAGCGATGTGGTGTTGATCGGTAGGTGAAAGGGGAGAAGAATCGGTCGTGTCGAGAAGGATTGGGCGTTATCCTTCGGCTAGGGAGTCTTTGAGAAGATATAGTTGAGACTCACAAGCTTCGGACGTCTACCTTAGCGCATCCACCTCGTAAGTCCTGCGGGTTTCTGCCGGTCGTCTAATGCTGCTGCAACTATCAGCTTGGAAGGCGCAGAGGAAATGCAGCGATCGCCAAATGAATGCCAGATGAAAGAAGTCGCAGATAGAAGGAGTGAATGCGTCGGGTATGAACCGGACCAGAGTGCAGGAGTGGTCTGGGGGTTTCAGCCTACTCACCTCTACGGAACGACTTACTGACTGACTGTACAGCTTGCTACCGAGGCGAAAGAATGGAAAGGTTCGTCACTTCTTCACACACACACATACACACCAATTCGGGGCCTCTTGTGGCTATACCTCTCCCAGGTACTTCTCAGCAGCAGTAGTGCATGCCGCCCGGATGATATCTTGTCGCGATGGAATGGAAGTGACTGAAGCACTGCAAATAAAAAGAGGATATAAGGAGTATGGGATGGTAGGAAAAAAGGTCCCTGGTGTCGTCGCTACTTCTCCATTGTGTTGCACTTTCACAGATTCTCTCCTCAGCTGTCTTACGTGTCTCTGCCCTTCTTACTACAAACTCGTCGCCCGTTCAATGAAACGGCAACCACAACTCAAGTCGAGAAAGAATGAGAGGTTCGGGGGGCAGCCAGGTCAGAACGCGCGTATACTGACGTATTGACCAATCAGAACCGTGCCTTTTCTAGTCGGTGCCCTCCCGTAAGTGGGGCCCCTCTAGAAAACCATCCGCGAGACCGCGACCGCCCAACAGGCGACAAACTTGAGCATGCTCTCGTAGGGCAGGCCGCAGGTACTATTAGATAGTATCATGCTGGCGTTACCCGTGGTTCACAGTGGCTAATCTTAGCTGTGTCGAGGTACCGCTCTAACAAGTGAGTCTTGGGCGACGAATTGTCTCTGGAACAGCCTAGAGTCGCGCTAGCCATTCATGGATGGATGACGAAGCTTCAACACCGCTAAACGTCAAAAGTTTGGTGATCACGACCCGACGGCCGACGATATCTGTCTCTGTCGAGAACGTGTACATATGAATACGTACGTTATCTTTCCAATAGTATCTTGGCTAGTTGTTGTCGCGGTTTTACTGCACTGCAAACACACAATCGATGACCCCAAAGATAGTCAATCAGTCTCAGACATTAGGCAAAAAGAGACAGACCGTCGAAGAGGGCCCACGGTGATCGTGATGCTACAATCCAATCCAGGCAGTCACGCTGGTCCTTTTTTTGCTCACGCTCAGCCTCACCCACCCACAGTTCATCGCCCAGTTGCGACTCGCGCCCGCCCCAGGGGGGGCATCCCCACTGCCACACATTTATCGCCTCTGTCCGTCCAGTCCCTTTTCCGTCCACAACGTTACCTTCCATACCTTTCGCTCGCCGCAGCTGGTGACCGTTTCTCGGAGTCAAGCGGCATTTGCGAATTGATGTTCTAGATGTCACGACCGCCGAACCAGCGGTTTTTCGTTGTTCGGATGATACGTCCGAACTATCTTCCCCTTTTTCAAGTGCTCTTTCGAGCAAAGGAAGTTGCTGGTCTTGGTACACTGCAGCTTGCGCACCTAGGGGAGGCACGGGCACGGCGCGTCCCCATGGTGCTTACGCGGCGCTCCGGTTCCCGGGCCTTCTCCGCTGCAGTGTCTTGACTTGTTCTTCACCACTTACTCCACTTTTAACGACGGTGCGATTGTTGGGTTCGAGATGGCCGTACACAGAGGGCAGTATTTGCCATGGTAGAGGTAACAGGTAGCGTACGCAGCGAATGGTTCGTAATCAGAGCCGTGTTTTTAGACTGTCAAAGGATAGGTATTGCGAGGTCAGCAATATTAGTCTCCAACAGAGATCACCCGCAGCTTTCACCGCACATTCATCTCGCAGCGATTGACAAGTAGCAAGTCCGGTTTTAGTGCATGGCGTGGAACAGGATACTGTGTTTGGCTGGAACCTGTTGTCGTTGTCTCAATTCGAAGATTTCAAAGCAGTCTTTGCCATGTGAAGGCCACTGTTCTTGTTTGCTGTGAAATTGATAATGACCGTGCGACCCCAGACCATGATAAACTTCCGAGTGTCGGCACCAAATAACGCGCGGTGCTTTATCATCGGTCCAAGTACTCGGTGTAGGCAAACACAAAAGGGCTCATTTATAAGCACCAGCATCGTGGTATCTTAAAAGTAGAACGCCTCATCTTGACAAATAACCTCTTCAATTGCTTTTGCATACGCGTAACTCCGATTTGCGGTATATCCTAACCTCTACGGCCCTATTCGCCGAAAAGACCCCATTATATGCGACTCCTCATGCCATACACATGCTAACAACCTTTACCTCTCCCGCTCACCATTGGAGAAGTACCTTGGGGGTACTTCACAGTCCCAGCTCGGCCTCTCGACAAGAGCGGCCTCAAGCGGCGGGATCGGAAGGCCCTCCGACACCCCGTTGTATTCCTCCACGGTTTCGCTGTCGAGAGGCACGATGCCTAGAATGGGTCGGTACTGGTACGTATGCCACCACTTGGCCTTCTGCTTCAGTGTATCCTTCTTTTGCTCTTCTCTGCTTTCGCCGTCGCGCAGACGCTGGAGCTCGCCGCCATCCATATCCTCGTCGTCATCATCCTCCTCATCCTCGACACCGCTGCTGGCAGCACCCTTCTGGTCATCGGCTTCCGCCATCTCGACATCAACCCACTCTGTCGCGCCGTCCTGTCCGGCAACGGCCGCCCTGATCTTGTGGGGGGCAATAGCGTTCAGGCTGTCCATCTTGCCGCCTGCGCCGTTCTCTTTGCCATCTCTCTTGCGCTTCAGGCCAGCCTTTTGCTTGGAGAGAGCAGAGGCGTCCTGGCTATCCAGATCCTGAGACAGGTCTAACATGAAGAGGAAGGAAATGCCGTAGATCCAGACACGTGGGCCTTGCCATACGACACCCTTGACCAAATCTCTGGTGACACGGAGTTGTTCTGGAAGCTTGGCATATGTGTTGCGGCGAGACCAGTCTGCGAGGGCACCGCGAAGGGGGTTGAATACAAGAACCTGTTTTAGTGTTGTGATGGCCAAGAGCGTATAATCTTCACCCTCCTGGCGGGGAGTCTTGGAAAAGGAGAGGACAACGGGAGCCGAGTCCAGCTTGGGGATGAGGGCTGCGTTGGGATTGCGTACCCAGCGCTCACTAGTAGCACCCTTCTGATCTTCTTCCTCATCATCTGATGAGTCGCTCGACGAAGCGTCGTCAGCCTCCTCATTCGTGCCATTCGTCTCCTCTCCTGGGACGCGTAATACCCAGGTATCGATCCATCCGGCAATATCAGCGACGCTGAACATCTTGCTATCAGGGGAGAAAGCCATTTGTGTGACGTTTCGGTCGTATGTACCAAGACCACCAAGAAGGATGTTCTTCGGGATTTGCCGGTGGAGGCGGCGCAGCTTGGAGGGAGCAGAAACAGTGTATCCATCCTCGTTCACGGTGATTGCCGCCGCCATGACATTGCTGCCACTCTCAACCCAGGACAACCAACGCCTGTCGGGAGAAATTTCCACCTTCATAGCTCCGTGACCAGCGTTCGCAACCTCGACCTTTTTGATCTTGAGCTGTTGCGAATCCGTGATATCGAGCTGGAAGGCCTTGATGTCAGTGGCAGTAGACGCGACAAGGAAGGTACCATCCTCGCTGATGGCGGCCGAAGTAATGTTGTGGTCGCCCTTGACGTAGATCTGGGCGATGAGTTTCCGTGTCTTGCGCAGGTCAGTGGTGGCGACGGCACCGTTCAAGAGATCGCGCGACGGGCTGGAGAGGTGCCAGATGCGAACCTCGTTGTCCCACCAGCTGACAACGAACCGGGCCTTTGATGCACTCTTGACATTGACGGTCTGAGGAAGATGGGGGAGAGTGCGGTGGAACTCCTTGCCTGCCGCACGAAGGGGCATAACAACGGGACTGGCATCAGGACCTGTAATTCAAGAGGTTAGCATAAAACGAGAAAGGAGAAGAATGTGAGCAATGTGACTAACCTCCAGAAACCACAACGCTCATGCCCTTGCCCTCGAAAGAGGCCATGGTCTTGACGTCATGGCCGTGATACCTCCTGTGGAAAGCCTTGGACCAGCGACCGGGTTGTCCAGCAACCGGCTCGTACAGGGCCGTCCGCCTATCCATACCGCCAGATACAATCTTCCTGCCATCAGCACTGACAGCCAGGCACAAGACGTCCTGAGTATGGCTTTGTATCCTCTGGGCTTGAGTATAAGTCTTGCCGTCCCAAATGCACACCTGACCAGTTGAGTCGCCGGAGACAATGTCACCGTTCGGTAGGCACTTGACGGACCAGACGATGATGTTCTTGGAGGCGGAGGAGTGGTCGGAGCCGAGGGTCATTTGTTGGAGAAGCGAGCCGTTTCGGATGTCGTAGGCGCAAATGGTGCTGTTGGAGCAGCCGACAATGACAACATTTCTGGACTGGAAGCAGATGCTGACCATCTTGACCTTCTTGGAGGGGGCCCTGATCAAGCTCTTCTGAAACTTGAGGTCGCCATCTTCGATCGAGTACATGACGAGGTTGCCGTCAACGGTGCCGGCGACGAGCTTTCTAGGGGCGTGGAGGTCGGAGGAAGGGGGCTGGACACCGAGGCACCAGATCTCGCCGTGCTGGCCGCTCGCGTGCTTCTTCGCGCGGGCCTTTTCGAGGTCCCATTCGGTGATGGTGTTGGTGTAGCCGACACTGAACAGACGTGACTTTCCGTGGATGATCTTGCCGTCGGCCATTTCCTCGTCGGGGTCGGTAACCCAGACCAGGCCGTCGATGCTCCGGTCATTGCCGCCGGGGATCAACAGCTCCTGGTGCCAGGAACCGTTGAGAGGGTTCCAAATTTCGATGTCGCCATTGGCGCGGCCAACAGCAAGGCGCACCTGGATGTTCTTCTGAAGGTTCTTCTTGCCGGCTGGGACGGGTGGAAGGGCGGCGTGGGAGAAGGCGACGGCGTTGATGGCGGAAGCGGGATAGGGAACGAAGCGACACCTGTGAATATCCATGTTTGCTGATGTTGTCGGGTATTTTATTAGGTGAAGGTGAAGGAGGAGCCCGGGTTCGGGTGCGGGTGTGTGGGTGGGCGTCGAGCCTCAGAGCGGCCAATCGAAGTATCGTCGAAAGGAAGCCGGTCTCTGCTGGATGTTTGGGCTTCTTCTTTCCTCTTGGTAGTTGTTGGCGGGGTCCTGCACGCTCTGCGATTCGGATCTTCTGTAATCTGAATTGGAAGTGAACTTTTTTTTCTGCCGGTTTGTAACTTTTGCGCCAAGCAAGTCGGTGAACCATTAAGGTGTGGTCTGTGCGCGTGGTGGCTCCCCTGGCCCCGGGGGATCATTGCTGCTTGCTGTCAGCGAGAGCGTGCAGTGAATGTGCCTGCCCGAAATCACCAATCACCCCGCCGAGACTGCCCCACCATTCTCCTTTGATTGTGTCATCATCGAAGGCAGGAACGACGTCTCTGTCGGAGTTGCCTTCGATGCGGATGCCATTCATTGTTGGTTATTAGCATGCTTCTGTCCCCAGCTGAAGAATTCCCGGTGTTTACTCCAAGGTTTCAATGTGGTGACGTCTTAAAGTAATTTTCCATTTCAGGAGCCTTATCCGCGTATGGAGACTTCGGACGCATCTGATCTCCAATATCTTCAGAGACGTTCGCCCCGCACGTCCCTCGACAAGGACACAACCAGCTGGAGACTCGCTGCTTACCGTTTGACAAAGAGGACTGCCCTTTAGCAATGATTTCTCAACCAACAGCTCTGGCATCCCTTACATGTGATGGAAGGGTGAACCAACGGCGGGCCACGTGAGATTGCTAAGAATTACACGCAAAAGGTGTGAAGGTTGAATTGGAAAAGGGACCCAGAACTAACAGAAGATACGGCCGACGTCTCCACTCCTGCCCACTATTGACGGCGTTACTGGACTTCGATTCGTCAGCCTTCTGAGAGCAACTCACTACCGAAGCATCTCAAGCCTCTTGTGTCTTAAACTTTTTCTTTTCCTTCTTGATTTCTCTCATCATCATCCTGGTTGAAGTAAGGATATCGTATACATCGCCGACAAATTACAGGTTACGGCTCATCCAGGAAGCTTCCGATCCCACACGCTCATCTCCCCCAGAGCTCTACAACATCAACCACCACAGCCATGAACTTCAACAGCTCTTTGCCTCACCCGGCGGGGGTCATCTCGTTCCTCGACACCGATTTGTATAAGTTGACGATGCAATGCGCCGTCCTTAAGTACTTCAGGGACGTTCCTGTCACCTACTCGTTCACAAACCGCACGCCCGAGAAGAAATTGTCGCGCGAAGCTTTCGTCTGGCTCGAGGAACAGGTTATGAAGCTCGGAAATATTAGCCTTTCCCCCGAAGAGCTCCAGTACCTCAAGACTCACTGCCCATATCTAACCGAAGAGTACCTCGAATACCTCTCCGAGTTCCGCCTTCGGCCGCGAGAGCAGGTTACCGTTCAGTTCCGCCCTGTCGATGACTTAGATCTCGGAGATATTCACTATGATATCAAGGGCACATGGGCCGAGACTATTCTTTACGAAATTCCGCTCCTAGCGCTCACTTCCGAAGCCTACTTCAAGTTCATGGACAAGGACTGGGAGTATGAGGGCCAGGAAGAGAAGGCGTTCGAAAAGGGCATGCGCCTTCTCGAGGCCGGTTGCGTATTTTCGGAATTCGGAACGCGCCGGCGCCGCGACTACCACACGCAGGCTTTGGTGTTTAGGGGTCTCACCAAGGCGGCCAGGGAAGCCGAGAAGAAGGGCCTGGCCGGCAAGCTCTCCGGTACTAGCAATGTTCACCTCGCTATGCGCTTCAATATCCCACCCGTTGGCACCGTTGCGCATGAGTGGTTTATGGGCAACGCCGCCATCGTTGGCGACTACAAGTCCGCTACAGAGGAAGCTCTTTCCCGCTGGGTTGGATGCTACGGCCCTGGTGTCCTCGGTATCGCGCTCACAGATACCTTTGGAACTCCTGAATTCCTTAGGGCCTTCAGCAAGCCCATGTCGTCCTCTGGCGAGCCAGTTCCCCAGCCAAGGCATCGCAAGATGAGCATGGCCGATACTTTTATCTCCGCAGCGAAGGAGATTATCAAGGACCTCCACACCGACAAGACCTATGCCGAAGTCTTTACTGGTGTCCGCCAGGATTCGGGTGATCCAAAGGAGTTCGTCAAAGTCATGCGCAAGTTCTATGATGAAGAAGGCATCAAGGACAAGAAGGTCATTGTCTTTTCCGACTCGCTCGACATCGATAGGTGCCTAGAGTACAAGCAGGTCGCCGAAGAGGCCGGCTTCCAGCCTACCTTTGGTGTTGGTACATTTTTTACCAATGACTTTGTCCACAAGTCTACCGGCAAGAAGTCCACGCCCCTGAATATTGTCATCAAGCTAAGCTCGGCTGCGGGAAATCCAGCAGTTAAGATCAGGTAAGAACCATTCTTCAAGCCGTCGCTTTTGATATACGACTAACTTTTTTTTTTTCTAGTGACAACGCGGGCAAGAACACCGGAGACAAGGCGACAGTCGAGAAGGTTAAGCGAGAACTTGGATACGTCGAAAAGGACTGGAGCGAGGGCGATGAGTCGGCGAGATGGGGTCGCGAGGGGGGATGCTGCTAAGGCATGAGTCTTCAGTTTTGGTCTTTGAGTTTGGAAGGTTATACCATGCATGCGACTGTTTCTCTGTTTCTTCTCCTAATGGCGGGAAAATGGATTTTTTCTTACCGGGCTACGCAACACATTTGAGTACGACCACCCTTGGGTATGGGTTCAAAGCCCGAGGTTTGAACAAAGGCTAGGTTGTCGAGAAACCCTCGATCTGTTTCCCGTTCTCATGGACATAAGAGGCGTCTTACGGGAAACCATAGTCCCAAAGTCTTATCATGTCAAATCCGAGGATGACAATGGGTATCAGAAACCTCGTGTAAAACTCACTGGCATAATATCCGGATTCATATCCCCCTTTAAAGCCAGACGCAGAGCACTCGTCAGACGCACGTCACCGTGCTATGCATTACCCGTATGGGAGGCTGCCGCATCCGCACACCTTATCTGTACGCCGAATACCAATCAATTGCAACCCTTGTCTCTCATCATATCAGCACTTGGAGATATCAGCCATTGCCACAATGCTACACCAGACGCCTCTCAGGTGCAGCATGCTGCAGTCCCCGCATTCTCCTCATCCCGTGCTGTCTTTCATTCATGCAATTCCACACTGAGGACTTCAATGGCTTCCGCGACTTGCTGCAACCACACACCATACGAAGGACAAAGAATTATGTCAACATGCTGAGAAAGACTTGATATACCGTCAAAATACAAGGACCGGGCAGCGGAAGAGGTAGCTCCTCCCGTAAGGCTGAAAATGCCGAGTCCATCTTACACGCAGTCAGTCGGCAGCACCTCGCCGAGAATCGGAGCCCCAACTTCTCAACCTCTCTCCAGGTTTCATCGTCGACCACCCCCCACGTTATCAAACCCGGCTATCACCACGCTCGGGTTGTATCCTACCACTCCTTCAGCAGCAAAGTACCAAAATCGGCAACCTGAGGCGTCCAACGAAACACTTATCGTTATCAGACGGTCTCTTCAGGTTCCTCGTCCTAACAACCCCTTGCTCTTGATTTTTTCAGCCATGTTTCTCCCCGGATACTACAGACAGATACACGGGTATTGAACGGGACAAAGCGCGCAACGACAATGCTTCGGCCGACCTTATTCGTCGAGTCAACATGGTTTCTATCACTGACGCTGCAGCAGATAGATCTTCAGCCCATGAATAACAAACAGCCTCGAGATAACAACCCCCAGAAAGTAACCGTGTTGTCCAGGGCATCAGATTCCGTTCATTATCAGATATTGTCAGTGCTTGAATTGGCGTTACGTCTTTTGCACTCGTCTGGAAAAGATAAAGATAACATCTACTGACTGATGAGCAACTCCGAGCGTCGTTGAAGCGATTATGTGATTGATATCAAGATCGTATTATGCATAGATACCGCAATCATGATTATAGCAAGTGAAGTGTCAATTAGCCACAGTAAGTGCTCGGATTTTGGAAGGGCCGATGCAGAGTGAAGGGACTGTTTTGCCCGTTTGGGGGGAAGGAGCGATGATGAATTCACTTGTCACATGAGTTCGCAACTGCCATTTACCGTATATCTTTGTGCATTCCCTTGACTCGAGGTTTCAAACAGCAAGACCGGAATTTCAGAAACTCCACTGGTAGCTGTTTTTATTTCCACCCTTCACATTGGCCTGAGCACATCTTCCCCAATAGAACTGGATAGTTCACATCAACCATCAGTCGACGAAAAATGCAGTACGCGGACCGGAGGAAAAAGCCCTGAAGACAGAGACGATGTCGTCGCCGCAGTCGAGAATGGAGTTGTCGTCAATGCCTCCGGGTACCGAGACCAGCTCGAACGACAATACAGTCTCTTGGGCTTGGCTGGCATTGCAATTACTGTCGACAACGCCTAAATAGCTCTCGGGTCGTCTATTTCGGTGTCCATTCCTACGTACCAGATTTGAGCGGCCACTCTCCTGCTAGAGCTGTTCCATTGACACCAGTGGCTGGTAACTAATTAGATGATGTGTGGTAGTCAATGGTGGCCCGCCTGGTCTTATCTTTGGTCTTATCCTTGCTGTTTTCTACTACAGCTTCATTGGGGCGGGACTGGCTGAGGTACGTGTACAAGAAAGCATTGACTGGTGGACTGCGTGAATAGGGGTGTTAGAACGAGTATCTGACTTTTTGTTTCTCATGATGTAGCTTGCATCGGCTGTGCCAACTGCTGGTGGTGTTTACCACTGGGCTACTATCGGTAAGCTTCCTCCCGTCTGCATCTTGACATCTCTGCTTAAAGGCTACAAAGTCGGAGACTAATGTAACTACCAGCTGGCGGTCCCAAATATGGCCGGATCCTCGGCTTCTTTACCGGCTGGAGCAACTTCTACGGATGGATGTTTGACCTAGCTGCCTTGATCCAGATCATGGCCAACATCTGCATCAGCATGTACTCCGTCTACCACCAGACCACCTACACCTACGAGCCATGGCAGGTCTACATCGCCTACCTGCTTGTCCTCTGGCTTTGCACGGCAGCTGTAATCTTTGCCAACCGAGTAATTCCACACACCCAGAACATTGGCATGTTCTTCGTCATCGTCGGCGGTATCATCACCATAATTGTCATCTCAGCCATGCCTAGACGACATGCCAGCAATCATTTTGTCTGGGGGTCCTTCACCGAGAATAACCTCACGGGTTGGCCTGGCGGTTTGGCGTTTTTGCTGGGAGTCCTGAACGGGGCGTTTACCGTGGGCACGCCAGATGCTGTCACGCATATGGCTGAGGAGCTACCGCATCCGAGAAAGGATCTTCCAAAGGCGATTGGCCTGCAGATTGGTCTAGGATTTCTATGTGAGAACCGACGCACTTTGTCATGATCTACTCTCAGCTAACTCTGTCCTCAGGCGCATTCTGCTTCGCCATCGCCCTCTGCTACGCCATCACCGATCTCGACGCCCTTCAAGGCTTCAACACCTACCCGCTCGCCAAAATCTACGCTCAAGCGACCGCCCACGCCGACGGGACTCCGAACCACGGCGCCACCTTCGATTCCTTGTTTATCATCTTCTGCTCGTCACTCCTCTGCTGTGTCAGCACGGTACTGACCAACTCACGCATTTACTGGGCTTTGGCGCGAGATAACGCGGTCCCTTTATCCCCTCTTTTCTCCAGGGTAAATGAGAAACTCAGTTGTCCTGTCCCTGGTACTCTGTTTGTCGGTAAGTCTTCTACTTCTTTTTTTCCTCTTTCTTCCAACCGAAAACAGAGCCAGAACCTAACGAAAAAAAAAAAAAAAACAATAGCAACAGCCCTAGGCGCCATCCCCCTAGGCGCCATCCCCCTCGGCTCCCCCACTGCCTTCCTCAACCTAACCGGCTCCTTCATCATCCTAACCACAGTTTCGTACGCAATCCCATTTGCCGCCAATGTTCTCACCCGACGCCAGTATCTCCCCTCCGTCCCCGGCTCATTCAGTTTGGGCAAATTTGGCATGCCAATCAACATCATCGCAGTACTCTTCATCGTCCTCTTCAACATTCTCTTTTGTTTCCCGTTTGTCTACCCAACTACGACAGTAACAATGAATTACAATAGTGTGATTCTGGTGGGGGTGATGGCGCTCACGGCGGTGTGGTGGGTGGTGCATGCTAGGAGGAACTATCCTGGGCTGAAGGTTATGGGGCTTTATATCCATGATAGTGTCCCGAGTGGCAGAGGGAAGGTAGAGGTGAGTGAGGGGGTTGAGGTGTCTGTTAGGGGTGGCGAGGGGGGTGTAGAAGAATTTGAGGAGAAGGAGAAGAAGGAGAGTGATGGTAGAAGGCTCCCGTAGAGTTGAGAACGGCGATTGAGGCTGTCTGTTGGCGTTAGTCCTAGATTTAGGAGCTGTGCTTCGTTAAATTGAAGGGTTCTTTGTTGGATGGAAGTTGTATTTCAAGAATCATCCCCCGTGCAACATTGCGTCAGACATATCACGTCTGGACAGACATGAATCAGAAGGGGGTTATGTCAAATACCCTTCCAATTCTCTTCGTTCCAATCACAATAACAGTCGGGCCCGAAGTATCTCAGTTCCGTTGTGTCATTGCCTAATTAATTTTGCTCATCTTCACAACATCTCGCCAAGCCGCAACACCTTGACCAAACCTGGTGCTCCGAATAGGCTCCCTGCTTAGATCTAGCAAACAGTTTCCTGTCCTACGCCTAGCCGCATACGTCGGCACCTCTACAGTCCAATACTAGGTTGTTCGTTAGCTCGAGACCTCTGGTCAACCTTCCAAAGCACTATATTGATCCTTTTCTTCCTATAAGAAACGCGCGTTTTCACCTTGCATATGCCATTTTGAACTCCACTAATACCTTTCCAATCGTCCTTAGCCCTTACGTTTTGTCCTTGTGGGGTTAGGACAATTTGGGACAGCTCTTGTTGAGTATACTAGAGTACCGAGCTAACAAACAAACAAACAACCCATTATTAGATTGTATGCGCCCAATCTCGAATCTCGCATAGCTCAAAACAGACTACGCAGTTACCCTTTGAACCTTTGAGATCGGAGGTAAGACGGAGAACCCGTCTATCGGTAACGAGGAGTGACTGTCCTGTGTGACTGACTGTCCTCTACCACAACCTTTGTTGTGACCTAGATAGATACTATGATATATGTAACCTGTAGGCCTGGTAGTCTACCTATGCATCGTACCGGATGGTAGGTCCTTATTTGTTGACCTGCCGAATGGCCTATGTAACCAGCCCGGATGATCCGTGGAATGTGGAAGTATGTAGATGCCCCGGTGGATGTTGTCCGACGCAAACGAGTCGGGTACCCTACCTACTACAATGCACCTCGTTTACATACACTTCTGGGACTGGCGGTAGCAGGTATGGCACTTGCCGTCGACCGTTGTTGTACGTGTAGTTGGGTTTTTGGGACCAACTAAGGTAGGTACACTTCCACCCTACCTCGAATAGTAGGGTACGGTTAATCCGTCACATTCAAGCGAACCGAGGGCATCACGACCATTGTCATCACCGAAAACTATCAGCCTCCTTTAACTTCGTGTCTACCTCAGCTAGGGTACCTTACCTACCTTACTTACCTACCTACCTACCTACCTACCTACCTACCTACCTACCTACCTACGGTAGTTACCTAAAGTATCAATCTTGCTGACAAAACCTCCAAGGTCCGGCGATCGCTATCACGTTAGATCGACCCCAGCTCGACCCCAACCCTGACACCGACAGTCCGGAACCGAGCTTGCTCGTCCCGGTGGTAATACAGTTCTCGGCCGGGGTCTGGATTCTAGACTGCTAGACTGGGTACTGCCCCTGTCCTTCCCTTCGCTGCGAGACCGGGACCACTCAGCTGCAAATCTACACTTTAACTGGCAAGCACGGACCTCCAAATAGGGTCCAATCAATTCTCGTGTTACACAACATATCGAGCGTATCTTGCGCCGCCAGTCCGTTTTTGGGGATAGTCTCTTTAAGTGGAAGCTCAAAGAGGAAAGGAAGAAAGGAAGGGAGGGAGGAAGGAAGGAAAGAAAGAAAGAAGGCACCAACGGCACCCAGCATAAGTGCCTTCAGTTCCTTTTTTTTGTGACGTGGACGGGACTTGGGGGGCGGGTACAGATCTCATTGTGATGGTCACTTCCGCTTATTTCTTTCGGACAATGTCACGGTTGCCTGGCGTCCCATTCATCTAAGCGATATCAAGTAAGCCCAGAAGGGATCTGTAGTAGTGTTCCATTGAGATTGAGATCGTGATCAAAACAAAGTGGAGGTTGGAGCTACCATTACCGCCGTGGCCTCTTTTGTATTGCGTTGGCGCGGCACTCCCTGACTTTGTGTTGGTTGGGCAGCCTCGCTTAAGTGTCGGATTCGGGAAATGGGGAACGGGGGACGGGGAAAAAAGGAAACAATGAAAGAAAGAACCAAAGAAAGAATGAAGGAAAGCAGGGAAGTTCGAAACGGAGACTTTCAAAATTTTGACGTTCAGGGAAGGCACTGTAGGGTAGATGGAGATCTAGTTTAGGCCTCGAGATTTGAAAGCAAAGCAAACGTGTCTTGCATATTAAGCGAGACAGTGTTCGAAATCGGAAAGTGGACGGATGGCTGTGTTTAACGGTTGAGTTAGTTATCCGGATTGACCAGGAGGCCGGTGAAGATCCAATTGGACAGTTCAAACCCTTCTAGTTTGAATAATAGGACCCCTGAGGTCCGTTCATTCTTCCGTGTGGCTTGTTCCGACGGGTCGTCAACAATGTCAGGTATAAAAAGTCCCCTTTTGTTCTCATGCATGCAGCAAACCATTGGTGACAACTCGCTGATTTGGGACACCCCAATGACTGCTCCATCCGCAAGTTCGGGACGCAAACCTGTTTTCTTTATTTGTGGTTAAGTTATGCGTCGTTGGTGTGCTGCGCGCTTGGATGCCCGAATATCGATTCTGAAACGCGCTTCGTAAGCATAGAACATTTTCGTCTCTTTCGGTACAGGTAAACTTGCGTACGGCACGGAAATCCGAGGTAAAGTAAGGAAATCTAAGTGACAAGTCAGATTCTGGACGGCGCTTTGAACAACAGAACAGCAAAGAAACCATGCAACAGGTATCTCCAAACTGGATGGCGTGGATTTTTTTTGGAAGAGCAAGTTCGTCCGACACGTGTTATCAATATATACTAAAGCATGCATGCAAACCATCTCGGACTCTGTACGGCGAGGAAGAAGGAAAAGTGACGAGTGATGAGCGTGGCTAGTTCACACCGGTTATGACCTTGCACTAACCATGAAAAAGCTATTCCCGCTTTGTGGCCTGGGAGGTCAGAAGTTGATTATATAGGTATTTGACGAATACACCCATCGTGAAGACGAGCATTCTTTGTGTAGTAACTAAGCCTTGCTTAATAGTGTAAAGGGGTTCGTAGGCGGTGGAGTATCTGAAACAAGCGGGAGGAAAGCCCAAGACCAAAGTGGCGTCTTGAAATTTACAGACAACTCATCTGTGTCACGCAGGGCCGAGGTAGCTAGAAGTACCTCTACCTACTCGTTGTCGCAGCCCACGTTCCCGGCAGTCTGGTAGCCTATCCCCTTTGCCCCTGTGTCTCGCTTGCCACTCGCTGAACTGCGCATGATGGTACTTGTCTCCAACAAAACACTTGGGAGGTAGACTCGGCCGGTAGGCTGTTGCACCCGATGCTCCATTCCGGAAAGGCTCAATGTCCCGACAGAACGGCACTCGCCATGGACTGAACAACAACATGCTCTAAGCCTGCAGTTGTCCCACGAAGGGTAACTATGCACCAGTATCAACCACATACCGTCATTCATGCGTCAGTCATGATGATGAAGTAAAGAAGAAACTTAACAGAGCCACGTCTGAGCGTTTAACACAGCTCATCAGTCTGGAATTTCCTGATGCCGTAGTGTATACCGCTATGGTCTGGACCAATGCAACAACGCTGAGTTGTTCGCCAGGGCGTTGCCCGGTTTCCATATGCACGCAGCGCTACCGGTTGTACACTCCCTGTTTCTCCATGGTATGAGGTAGATATGTCGTGACTGATTGCTGTGAAAGGTGTTGATCGGGCTAAAGAAACTTGGAAATCAACAGTCTCTCCATGCGAGTACAGCCGCGTGAAGCTAGCATTGGTCCTGATACTTAGCCACCCGCTGCCAGCCTGTGAGATGGTGTACTGGCTAGCTTGGACCAACCAGACAGCGCGAGCCGTCCAAATCGGGCATCTCTGCAAGAACCAAGCTGGGTTAAATTATTGTAATTTGGTCCCCAACGACTGTTGATCATAAAGTTAAGAGAGGGTAAGTGGATACGACCTCGGCTGCTGCGAGGGACTCTGACACACCCAGAGCTGTCTAGTCGGCGTCGCCTTGGCATTGACCAAAACAGTCAAGTGATCCATCAATTCTCGGAAAGGTCCTGCCGACGCCCGCAAGGGCAAAGAGCCCATTGTTTCTGGAACACTAATCTCATGTCGAGGCGCTGAATAAGGTACACACCAGGAACATTCGAAAGTGTTTTTGCGAGTCAGCGGTTGGTGGGATTTGCGAAAAGGTGCCATTGGAACCAAGTCGCCCGCATCCGGAGCTCGTAAGTCGTAACTATGGACTGGGGAAAAGGCGGTCAAACCCAACAGCAAGTAGGCCGATCTAGCTGCTGTATGATCCTATCTCCAACACTGGTGTCTGAGGGTGGAGTCGTTTCTGTGAGCGAGGCTGAATCTGGTGACGCGATGGTTAAGCGGGCTGTGCCCGTATCCGTACGCTTGCGGGTTAGTCGGTTCCCAAGATCCTGCACCATGATACTAAGGAGACTTGAGAGGAAGTATTAGCAAGGCTGGTGGTATCTGTGACCGACGAGATCGGTGTCCAAACTTCCACTTCGCCGAGACAGGTCGGCGAAACGAACAATTTGCGGAGAAATTGCAACTCACCGGCAGATGGAACATGTCCAGAGCCCTTTCAACCTTGTACCTGGACAATACCCAAGTACCACAGTACTTACTTCTTTCATGGTCATCATCATAGGTCTCCGCACAGAAGGACACGACAACGGCCTCCCCAGGCTTGAGCTCGTTGGAACAAGGGCACCCCAAGCATCGCGATGCCTGTTTCTGAAACCACCAAGGATGTCTTGAATCTTTGTTGGCCCTGTCGGGGCCCATTGTGCGCCCCAGCGCTCCAGTCGACTGCCAACTTCCACTTTGGAATACCCCAGCGACCCGACAGGCTGGAAGCGAATCACAAGTTGAGACCTGTCGGAGTCTCAGGGGTGCTGCGCTTGGTGTGGTCGATGTGGATCCGGATGGACCTGT